TATAAATTAATCATTCTAATTTTCAGAAACAAACTAAATAGTCCTCATTTTTTTTAAATTATCTATTTCATTATTTCTTTCTATTTTTTACTTTTAAAAATAAAAAATAAATAGATATTGTGAAAAGATTGAAGAGAAAAGTAAATTAACTATGATCAACACTGATCAAGAATTTAAATAATTATTTTTAAAAAAAAAACAAATGAGGCTAATTATTATGTTTTTTAAAATTAGAAAAATTAATTTATAATTTACTCGTGAAAACCACCAAACGAGCAAGGAAAAAAAAAAACTCTCAACAACTTCATAATCAAATTAAACGATAAAAAGAGTAGAATGCAACTTAATGCCATGAACTTCACACTCTATCATAGTCTTCTACCTGGGACCGTGTCAAGAGCTACTTGTATGATTCAATCCCCACGTTCAAATAATTTCATTTGAAAATATATTAATTCAATCGTTTTTAAAAATTAAGCAGCTAATTTTTAGAAATTTTAATTACTTCACTTTAAAACAAAGCAATAAAAAAAAAAAGCGAACCAGATTCTAGAATATTGCAAGGTCTCGTTTTTCCAATCCTAAACGTTTTAATTCAGCAGTTTTATCCTTTTGACAAAAAAAAAAAACTATTTTCTCACAGAAAAAAAGAAGAAGGAAACATGCATAAGTTATGAATGCGTATCCCTATTTTGAAAATTCAGTCGATTCATAGGAAAGGGAAAATAAGTTGGACCGTTCGAGAATAAGTGGTGTTACCGGTTCGACATGTTGGAATCATTTGGAAATGGGAATAAAATATTAATTTAAAAAATAAACGTAGTAGATTGGCTTGCCTAATACTAACAGACTTCTCACATGATAGTAAAGAGTTTTTTATACTGGCAAAAAATATAAATATAAATTTTTTATTTAGATATTTGAATTTTAAAAAAACTTCCTTACGATAGAAAGGCAAAACAGTCCTTTATTTTATAGTGGTAATCTGTTATTGTATTGCAATCTTATTTCTTGTTTTGCTAATCACTGATTATTAATAAAGTAACTTATCCTAGTTATTTATTAAACATTATAAAATTTAACAAGTGCATATGTTTTTTTAGAAAAGGGTTGCATAATTAATGCACATAATATATTAAACAGTACTTGTATTTCTACCTCTCTCCATTCCGGAGGACAATCATGAATTAATTAGTTGATATGGGCTATGTTTGTTTAGTAAAAAACAAGTTCTAAGAGTATGTTTTTTTCATTTTTCAGTGTTTGTTTTGCATTTAAAAAAAAAATCAATGAAAAATAATTTTCAGATCAACGAAAAATGATAGAGTATTTTTTAAAAAATGTTTTCCGAGTTAAAAAAGAGGAAAACATTTTCCTTCTCATAAGTTGTCTCGCTCTCGCGTTACTTACCTCTCTCTCGAAATATTTTAACAATTTTTTCTCTCGTCTTCTTTTTATTTAAAAAATATATAATTAATTTTTAATTATTCCTTATTAATTATTATTAATTATTTAATTATTTTTTCTCTATTTCTACTAACATTTGATTTTTTTATTTATAAATACATTAAATATTCTTAAAAACCTTTTTACACCTTAAAATTATTTTTATAATAAATATTTCAATAATTTATCTATTTTTTTTTATTATTATCTCAAACACTACCTAAACTATATTTCTACCTCTCCCCATTCCGGAGGACAATCATGAATTAATTAGTTGATCTGGGCTATGTTTGTTTAGGAAAAAACAAGTTCTAAGAATGTGTTTTTTTCATTTTTCATTGTTTGTTTTGCATTTAGGAAAAAAAATCAATGAAAAATGATAGAGTATTTTTGAAAAAAAATTTTCCGAGTTAAAAATGAGGAAAACATTTTTCTTCTCATAAGTCTGTCTCACTCTTGCGTTACTTATCTTTCTCTCGAAATATTTTAACAATTTTTTCTCTCGTCTTCTTTTTATTTAAAATATATAAAATTAATTTTTAATTATTCCTTATCAATTATTATTAATTATTTAGTTATTTTTTCTCTATTTCTACTAACATTTGATTTTTTTATTTATAAATACATTAAATATTCTTAAAAACCTTTTTACACCTTAAAATTATTTTTATAATAAATATTTTAATAATTTATCTCTATTTTTTTTTACTATTATCTCAAACACTACCTAAACTATATTTAAATGATTGAAAATGACTATTACAAGACCGCAATCATTTGTAAAATTTTGTTGGTAATTGTAGTGAATAATTAGTCACAAATTATTCCAACATTAATCTTTTGAAACCAAATGAATAATTATCCATAAATAATAATTAATAATTTGTAAAACTATTTTTTAGACTAAATTATTAGTTCAATTTTCAAAAAAAAAAAAAAAATCTTAATTAACTTACCAAAATAACAATGTTAGGATTACTTAGATTTTTTTATTTATTAAATGTGAATATTGACTTGATTTTTTTTCTAAGTAATTGTAATGAATTGGTTTGATGGTTAAAAAAGTATATTTTATTTTTTTAATTTAAATTTTAGAGTCAGTATTTATGAAAATTTATTAAAATTTTCTAAATGTATCTTATATTGCGAAATTATGAATATGTTTTTTTTGAAGTTTTTTCAAAATTTATTGATGTAACAATCACATATTATATATTTTCTAGCAGCGTTTTTCATGTAATTGCCAAACGACATAAGATATTTTTTTAAAAATAACGTGATTGATTTTTTTTATGAAAATTATTTTCTCCCAAAGCAACGGAGCGCTGGTTCACAGACTACAACTAGTCACTTACTTTTTGTAGTGTAAGAGTGACCATTAATGAAGGGGATGGCTCGAAAGCATGACCGAAAACAAACGGAGCGCTGGTTCACAGACTACAACTAGTCATTTTTGCTAGTGTAAGACTAAGCATTGATAAAGGGGATGGCTCGAAAGCATGACCGAACAAAGAAGGTAGTGGTTTACCAAACAAGCTTGCTAGCTGTAGCATTCCCATTGGGATCTGAAATTGTAATCTTTCACAATTAAACAGGTGGTACTACTTTTCAAGTGATGAAGACTGAAAAGGTTAGCCCAACAACTTGCATGAGTGGTAAGATCCATTTCTACACTTTTCCAGCACGAGAGCAACCTTTTTCTACAAACTTTATTTCGAAAAAAGACAAAGTTTCCTTTGGCAAGTGTGAAGTTTCTTTTGGGCAACTTCTCATAATTTAATTTGGTCATGATGATCTTCACGCAGAATCCACTTTATCTAAGTCTAAATTTTTTCGTTTATTATTGACCAATCATTTTGCTTATAAATAGGAGAACAAGTCAATGACGTGAAACATAGTGGGGTAGTGTCTCATTTTTCTTCCTGATCTCTGCTTATATGAAGTTGAATTACTAGTTGATAACAGGTTTTCTGGCGTTTAAAAGGTGGTTTGCTTTAGTTTGATTTCTTTTTGACAAAAACGTATATATTTAGCACTAAATTTGTTACTTCTGGAAGCGAATTATTCAACAAGGCACCCCTATAAGCTGATAAATAGCTGAAGTTACACAAGAAATTTTTCAGACAAACAAGTAACTGTGACATTGATAGACATACGAAGTACTGGGATAGGAAAAGACTTGCTTTCTTTGTCGTACCAGTGACCCTCTGTCCCTAGAGTCTGATTGATGCCGGAGTAATTGAGAGGGTTGAGAGAAGGGCAGTTAGCGGTTAAGGGTGCCACTAGCCAATCTCTGTTTGGTCCTACAACTATAGGGATTTTATTAATTAATACGATATCTATAGTTTTGGTGATTAATGAAATTAAGGAAAGTTCAATCAATGTCCATCATTCATAAATGTTGCTTGTGGTGCCGATTGAAGAAATTTATAGACTGATTTCATGTGCATTACGCCAATCAAGACTATATTATAGCCAGCAATAGTTTTTAATATTGGGATCTACTATTTTTTGCTGTTGGTGATGTTTACACATAGGAGGATATTGTTTTGTATTAATCAAAATTAAATTTATCACTTTATGGGATAGACGAGTACCAAATCATGTCTAATTTTTTATCGATTTAAAAATCAAAATTTTTAATCAGAAGATGATAGTCTCGTTGGTAATCAAGATTTGACTTATAGATCAAGTCTATAGTTTGAATTTTCTGTTCAACATTTTTTAAAATTTATTCTCGGAATATTCAAAACTGTACGTTAGAAAGTAAATTTGAATCACATCCAAAAAAAGATTTTAATCACATCTAAAAAGAGATTAATCTCGAGATACATAAAAATTGATCCGAAAACACCTTATTACTAAACTTTAAAAAAAAAAAATCAAATTTTTTGAGTCTACCATGTCCAGTGTTACACAACAAAGTGGGAGAAACTTTTTTTTATCACCTCACTTGCAACTTTTAGTGATTTAGAATCTACTAAATTAACCAATTCAAATTCGTATAACATTCTTTTTTTCTTCTGAAATCTAACATGTATCTAGAACACATATAATAGTTTTTTAAGAAAAATATATCTCTACAATAAAAAGATTCAATTTTTTTTTTTGTTACAAATAAAAACTTGAGGTTTTTTTTTTTTTTTTTTTTTTTTTTTTTTTTTAAAGAAGGAGGGTGTCGGTGCAAATTAAGCTATAAAAAATCAGGATATATTGTATAATCTTTTTTATTATTTTTTTAAACACACACACCAAATTATATGTAACTCGGGTAGGTGATAAAGCATTCAACAAACCATCTCTAAAGATAGCAAGTTAAAACCAGTAATTTTCATAATTCCTTTAAAATGCCGAATGCAAAAATTACATGGATGGATATTATTTTATTCCACAGTGCTAGCTAGCATCCTTACATCATATGGATTCTTCCATTTTTTATTTATTTAATTTATGCATATCCTTGTTGACCTCCTGCTTCCTTCTCTATATAAATATGCAAGGCAGGGAACTATTTGAGACAACTAAACATTTAAGTTTCTTCTCTTTCGTTAACGATGAAGTTTCCTTTGTCGAGACTAGCATCTTGCTGTTTATATTCTACCTCGCTGTTCTTTCTCCTTAGTTTTGTATGCACCGTTAATTCTTTGGTCAAGCTTCCTCCTAATGTAACTGTCCAAGCACTTCTGGTTTTTGGGGATTCCATAGTTGATGCAGGCAACAACAACAACATTCAAACACTTGTTAAGTGCAACTTCCCTCCCTACGGGAAGGATTTTGAAGGAGGAAATCCTACAGGAAGGTTTTGTAACGGAAAAATTCCTTCAGACATGATAGGTACGATGACAACCTCTCTCTCGAATCCTGATACATTTATCTATGATTTTTATTACCATGCTGAACATTCAAAGCTAAATGCGGATATTAATGCTTAACATTCGACCTCAAAATCAATAAAAAAGTTACTTTTTAACAGTGAGTAAAACATGGTCATGCGCGGAAGTAAGAGCAAGATGAATATTTATGACATATAGGTCGGGAAAAGCTAATATGGGATATTTTTTTCAGCTCTCAAATGTTTAATGGACCAAAATCTAGCACCAATCGCATCATGACTCATGAGTCAGTAGATTAGCGGTTTCATTAATTATGGGTAATTTTTTTGGGTCCAAAAATATGTACAACAGGGCTACCTTTCGTGGAGAAAACAAATTGTACAAATTAAGAAATCCCCGTCTTATTACTAATGAGATAATTACATTTTTGGTATACTTACTTTTGTCTTTTTCTCAATTGAGTATCAAGACTTTGAATTTTTTAGTTTCAAATCTGTCAATTAAATATTTACGTCTAAATTCAGCTATTTTTTAATGATATAGCAATTGATTGACCAGCTAATTTGAATTTAAATGTGTTTTTTTATTATTAGAAAAATCCTTCTATTTAGTTCAAACAAATTTCAATTATTTGGAAGAATATTTTTTTTAAAATAACTTAAAAGTTTGAAGTTATTAGATGGTGAAAATCATCTTTTACGTTATTATAAAATGAAAAAAATTGACTAAAAGATGAAAGTAATTATCGAATTCTCAAAGTCTAAACTTATAATCTCTCCCTCTCTTGGAGGAAATGACGTGAAAGAAAATAAATTGTACAAATTAAGAAATCCCCGTCTTATTACTAATGAGATAGTTACACTTTTGGTATACTTATTTTTAGCTTTTTCTCAATTGAGTATCAAGATTTTGAATTTTTTAGTTTCAAATCTATCAATTAAGTATTTACATCTAAATTTAGTTATTTTTTAATGATATAGCGGTGGATTGATCAGCTAATTTGAATTTGAATGTGTTTTTTTTATTATATAAAAATCCTTCTATTCAATTCAAACAAATTTCATTTATTTGGAATAATAATTTTTTTAAAAGAATTTAAAAGTTTGAAGTTGTTAGACGATGAAAATCATATTTTACGTAATTATAAAATGAAAAAAAATTGACAAAAAGATGAAAGTAAATATCAAATTGGCAAAGTCTAAACTTATAATCCCTCCCTCTCTTGGGGGAAATGACGTAAAAGAAAGCAAATTCAGCTTTGGGCTACCTTTCGTGGAGAAAACAAATTGTACAAATTAAGAAATCCCGGTCTTATTACTCATGAGATAATTACACTTTTGGTATACTTACTTTTAGCTTTTTCTCAATTGAGTATCAAGGCTTTGAAATTTTTAGTTTCAAATCTATCAGTTAAATATTTATGTCTAAATTCAGTTATTTTTTTAACGATATAGTAGTTGATTGACCAACTAATTTGAATTTGAATGTATTTTTTTATTATAAAAAAATCCTTCTATTTAGTTCAAACAAATTTCATTTATTTGGAAGAATATTTTTTAAAAAAAGACTTAAAAGTTTGAAGTTGTTAGACGGTGAAAATCGTTTTTTATGTCATTATAAAATGAAAAAAATTTGCAGAAAGATGAAAGTGATGATCGAATTCTCAAAGTCTAAATTTATAATCCCTCCCTCTCTCGGAGGAAATGAGAACCGAGCAATAAAAAAAGAGGCAGACCTCTGACCTCAAAAAGAGGGAAAGTCTATCCAAGTTTAAATAATAAGGACACATAAGGGAAGGTATATTTTACATTTGGTAAAATTTGCAGCTAGATCCTAAAAGAAAAAACTTATTCGTTTTTGCCCTTGAAAGATGTTTTCTTGAAATATAAGAAAGTTAGTCTAAATAATTAGTCTCTCTATTTTGAGAAAAAAATTAATTATTCATTTATTTTTAAAACTAATTATTTATTTTTTTGACTAGTGTTGAGATGTTTGATTTAATATTATATTATTTTATAAAATAGCATTTTTTCTTATCAATTCTTTCATTTTTTACTTATTTTTTCTCCTTTTCTATTTCTTAAAAATAAAATAAATTAAAAAAAGAAAAAATAATTAAGTTACAAGAAATTTTAAAAATATAAAGGCTAAATAAATAATTGTTGAAAAAAAAAATAATCAATTCGTTTTTCAAAACTAGAGGGACTAATTTATAATTAACTCATTCTCGTGGCGAACGTCAAATTTGGACTTTGGTGGGTAGAGTAGTCAAAGTTTGAGTCCTCTAAACACAGCAAAAGTCATACAGACAAAAAGGTCACGATCAATTTGAATATCAGAAATTCATAGTCTCGCCCGTATCAAATCATGAGAAAACATTGCTTCTGAAGTTCTTGACCAGCAATCTCTCTTTCTTCGGGTTTTCTTTTACAGCTAAAGAATTAGGAATTAAGGATACAATACCAGCATATTTGGACCCAACTGTTCAACCCCAAGATCTCGTAACAGGGGTAACCTTTGCTTCAGGTGGCTGTGGCTTTGATCCTGTGACACCCAAATCAGTGGTAAATACATTCTGCTACTGCCTTTCTTTATTCTTTTCAAGTATATTTTTTTCCAACCCTGCCTATACTAATTTTGCTCAAATTTGGTAACAGTCAGTTTTATCGTTGTCGGATCAATTAGAATATTTCAAAGAATACATAGGGAAGCTGAAGACGATAATTGGAGAGGAAAAAACACTTTTCACCTTAAGGAATAGTCTATTTTTAGTAGTAGCAGGCAGCGATGACATTGCCAATACCTATTTTACTCTTCGAGCTAGGCAATTGCAATATGATGTTCCTGCTTACACCGATCTGATGAGTAACTCGGCTGCTAGTTTCGTGCAGGTAAGTAAGAAATTTGAATCTTTGACGTATATTATATGAATAAATGTTATTTTTACAATAGTAACATCAGTTATTGTGTTTACATTTAATTTAATTTAATTTTTTTTTTGAAGGAATTATATGAACTTGGGGCAAGAAGGATTGGAGTTTTGAGTGCACCGCCAATTGGATGTGTGCCAGCTCAGAGAACTTTAGCAGGGGGAGCTGACAGAGAGTGCGCAGGAAATTTCAACGAAGCAGCAAAGTTATTCAACTCCAAATTGGCTAAAATGTTGGATTCCATCAGCTTGCCTGACGGCAAGTTTGTCTATATAGATATCTATAATCCACTGCTCGATATCATTCAAAACCCCCCAAAACATGGTAATTAAATTGTTCATTCCCTTGAATTTTGGACACATTTGAGAAGTGTTCGATGTTTATCAGAAAGTATCGGATCAATTATGGGATCCGAACAAGTGAAGGATTTTGAATTATTAGTGTTTCATCACCTGTATTGTGTTCTGTTGTTTTCAGGTTTTCAAGTTGCAGATAAAGGATGTTGTGGTACTGGGGTATTAGAGGTGGCTATATTATGTAATCAATATACTCCAGTGACATGTGCAAAAGTTTCCGATCATATATTTTGGGACAGCTACCATCCAACCGAAAGAGCTTATGAGGCACTCGTTTCTGCTGTCCTTGGAAAAGTTGTGGACAAATTCTTTTGAGGCGTTTCAGATTGTTATGGTCAGGTTTTCAAAGGTCGCCATGAGGATGTGAAAAAAGCTTGGATGGTAAACATTACAAGCATTTTGGAAAAAAGGTCTAAAAAATGGCAAACCATTTCGGAGTTTTGAGACAATCTAAGTGTATTTTGACTTATTGATAGTGGTTGAATTGGGACTAGGGAGGTCCCATGTTCAGACTCCTGAGGATTTCCAACCTCTGTGAGCCACCATGTTCAGACAATCTAAATGTCTTTTGACTTAGCGATGGTGGTTGAATTGTACTTTTCCTTTATATATACATCTAGTAATTAAATTTAAAACAAAATTGTTAAATTTATGTTTTTAGAACATAAAAGAAAAAAGCTGCAGCAAGACAAATACAAGATTATGTTTGTTATGGCTTAATGATGGATTTGCCTTGGTTGAAGCCCATCTCAAGCCCCCGCCAGGGGAATGTGGATGCTGAAAATTACGTATCTTTTAGGTTCGGGTACTTGGTAATTGAAAGTCGTACATGTAATTTAGAAGACTGCTAGAGATAATTGGCCATCCCCCGACATATGTAGGTCATGGACGGTCTAAATGAGAGAGACATGGCAGCTCCTGGCACCAGCCTATAATTTAGACACCATTAGATGCTACTACCTTTGGCCATAACGGGGCCTGATGAAAGTCAAATTACAATTCTTCAGATGAATTCTGGTTTAGATTGAGTTGGTTCAGGCCATGGTCATGCTATGCTTAGTTGCCAGTATAAACGAGTTTTTCCAAATATTTATTTGCTTGATTTTCCTGCTAAGCTTATTTTGAAATCACTGCGCAGCTTGGATATGCACACTATAGTTTGGTTGCCTTCTCATGATTTTTATTCTTCCTGAAGCAGAGACAAACTACAGGATAAAGAACTCCTACTTCAGGCCAGATTTTTATAGAGTAACAAGAGTTTAGCAGGTTTATTAATCCTACTGGTAACTAATAATCATGTTTGAGCAGCATAAATTTTAGGACAAAAATCTCCTGCTGCTCCTCCAGCCGAAGACGTGGCTGCTGTGCTTGCTGCCGCGTTTGGGTAGCATTAATGCGTCTGTGATACTGTCAAGGATAGGTGTGGAGAAGCGGCGGTTTAATTAACAAGTAATGGTCTAGTGTGGATAAATGGATCTTGGTACGTTCTTGACTCTGTTGGTTGGAGAAGCAGGTGGGGAAATAGGTATGGTGAAGTGACTCGAGCAAATACGGCTGCGTCCTGCCACATCTTGGGCAGGATGGGAGTTTCCTCATGGCGAACCTCTTGTCCTGACAACTAACGAATGACTTGTGACCGTGATTAAAAAAAAAAAAAAAGAAGTAAATACAAAGATATTTTAGATAGAAAGAATAAATTATTTTTTCTGTTTTTAAAGAGATTGCTTATTTTTTTGTTTATATCTGTCTCAAAAAGTTTATCGGATCAAAACTTTAAGTGGTATATTTTTTTAAAAAATCCATAATTAAAATTTATTTTATTATAGATTATTCAAATGCAATTTTAAAATAAATAATAGGAATTAAAAATGCTAACATAATATGACAATTACTTCTTTCATTCTACAGAGATTATCTATCTTTCTATTTATATATGTCTCAAAATGCTTGTCTGATAAAAAATATATTTAATGAAAGTCTATTTTTGTAAAGGATTGTCTAAATGCATTTATCGAAAAAGATATTTTAAAAAAGTATAAAAATGCATAACAATTAATAATCTTCTTAAATTTATATAAAAAGAAAAAAAAATGCTAATTTTTTTTTTTTGGACTTAGGAAGTAAAAATTACAACTGATTGATCTTCTTTTTTCTCTATAAATAAATAAATTGATAAAGATTGTAATATATAATAGGTTTCGAGTTTTAAGTAATTGCCACTACATGCTGCCACGTCCTGGGCTGGTTAGGAGTTTTCTTATAGCGAACCTTTTGTCCTGACAAATACTTTTGTCACCGTCAATTTTTACGAAAATAGTGAACAAAGAGGTAGCTTAGATAATAAAAATAAAAAATTATAATTATAATTGATTTATTTTTTTATAGAGAAATATATTGATAAATATTGTAATATACAAGCGTATATAGTTCCCCTATTTTAGTTCGCATCGAACTAAATCCTAAAGCCACTACAAAGTATAACGGCTGAAGAGTATTGGAATATTGTTTTAATTAAAATATTAATAATATTAAATGAAAAAATGTTTCAAACAGTTACAATTGAAACAAAAGATCAACAATTTTGTAACACTTTTTTCATTGAATTCTTTCAATATTCTTTTATTGAATTTTAATGTACATTACATTAGCTATTAATTTCTTTAAATGAATAAATTAAATTCTTCTAACCAGTACTTCATTTGCCTATGTATATATAAGTACTCTAATTGAGAAGAAAAAGTGAAAATAAGTTTTTCCTTTGCTTTGAAGAAAAAAATATTCTTTCAATTTTCTTGTTATTTAATCTCCCACTATAAAATCATATAATACTTATTTATTTTATTTTTGGATAAAAGTGATCCTATTATTTTTAGAGTTTCGGGTTTTACAAATTTATTAAGATACAAGAATGTTGTTGAGCTTGTTGTATCCTTGAGATGGTGTGCATTGTATTCTTGATCCGTTGCATCGGATAAATTCTACGGATGACGTGTATCATATTAAGAAAGCAATTTTATTGTGTCTACGGTCGATCACCTAATAAATTATGGTAAAATTATTTTGCTGGGTCGGTCATCTTTATTTCATGACGGATAGTAACGTGATTTTAATCCCGAATTCTTTGACAATTAAGGTAAAAAGTTATAGTTCTTTATTATTTTAATTTACAATAAATTTATTTATTTATTGCGTTGAATTCTATTATTTAATTGTTGTTCCTAGCACACAAAATGAACATAATCAAATAATAAAATTTAACATCGTAAATAAATAAATTTATTCTAAATTAAAATAAATAAAGAACTGGAACTTTTATCTTTCATCAAAGAATTTGGGATTAAAATCATGTTATCATGTGTCCGTTATAAAAAGATGATCGAACTAGGAAAATAATTTTACCACAATTAATTAGGTGACCGATTTGAGACACGACTAGATTACTACTTTTTTGAGACGATACATGTCATCTACATAATTTATCCGATACAACGAATTAATAATATATTGTACGTCATCTCAAGGATACAACAAGCTCAACCACCTTGTCATGTCTTAACAAATTTATACTATTTGTAAGACTTAAAACTCTAAAAATAATAACACCACTCTTACCAAAAAATAAAACAAATAAGTATTATATGGCTTTATAATGAGAGATTAAATAACAAGAAAATTGAAAGAGATAATTTTCTTTCTAAAAGAATGCTGCTATTCTTTTCTCTAAATGTTGCTTTTTTTTTTTTTTTTTTAATGTTATCACAATAGAAATAACATAAAAGAACGGTCCTATACATAGGCTATAGGAATCAAACCCTTCGGAAAATAAATGCAGCTATTCAAAGCTTTTAAAACAAAATGTTATAGATTTTTTTTTAATAACAATAAACAGTCAAATTATGTATTAATGTTTATTGAATATCGAAACCTCTTAATTGAATAAAATTTAATAAAACTTCCAATGTTTTTCAAAATGATAACATATACTTTAATTATTTTTATTAGTCATTAATATAACTTTTAATATATACCAACAAAGAGTACAAGGGACGTGTGGCAAGAATATGATGCCGGAAATAGACCGATTTTATAATACTAAGTTGAAGTCGGAGCTAGATTATCTCAATAGCTTTCTTCCCCGATCCAGGATAAGTTTTGCATATGTCTACAAGCATTTGCTTCATCTATTAAAGTACCCTGAGACAAAAAAAAAAAAAAAAAGATTCCATGTCAGCTCCAATTGAGGGTATTACTGTCATTAAAAAAAAATGCACTTCGTAATTTAATCGTAGAAAAGAAGATTTTAGGTGAAAGTGTAACGATCGGATTAGATGGAGGAATTGTACATTCAAGGAAATTCGAGAGAACCATCCCCTTATATAATTGCGCCATTTGCATTAATATATATATATATATATATATATATATATATATATATATATATTTTAATAGATAGACTGATCAACTATTTCTCTCTCACTCTCAATTAAAAAAAATATTTTCCTGATTTTAAGCCAAAGTAGAATTAAACTGGTGAATCTTGATATTTGTTTTTAACAAATACATTCAAATCTTAGAATTTTTTTTTTTAACATTCACTGGACCATCAAAATTATAGAAAAAAATTAACTTGCTTTTTTTAAAAAAAATTGATTTTTTTTTATATATAATTGAATATCAACATTGTCTATTATTAACATGAATAAAATTGAATATTGACACAAGCTACAACATTGTACACTTAACTATGTTTTTATCTCTCCTAAAATTTTGTTCAGGATCTGCCAACGTGTTTAGGGTACACATTTTTATGGCTTTGAGTTTCATCTAAAGTCGACTTCTGCGTTACATCAAATTTCTTCCCTATAAAGTTTTCTGGTATTGTTTCCTCTCCAAATTAATGATAATTACTTGGTTTTTACTATAAAAATAAATTATCTATGTACTCATTAGTTCGTTTGTTGAAACGAGAGAAGTTCAAGGTTTCACCTTTTTAAGTTTATTATTATTATTATTGGAGGATTTGCATTCTAGTTTAACGGAGAGCAGAAATACCTAATCATCAGGACCGAAAGTTGGTGATAAAGTCCAACTGTATTCTTATCTTGTTAGTATTCTGCTGTATACTTAGAGATTCGACTAGTTTGATTGTAATCCTAATGTTTTCAAAAGCCTATTCGAATCCATCCAAGAAAAACGGTTTATAATATGAACATTTACCTTTTTTTATGCTTTAAACAGATCGATACTTCCATATATAATATTTACATTTTTTTATGAAACATACTTTCATATATAATACAAATAAATTTTACATATATCGATATTTTATATAATTTTTTTTTAATTTAAAAGTAGATTTTTATGTTTTTATTATTTCAGATATTGACAAATGACAACTTGTCATATGGTAAGCTCTTAATTTGTAACATGACAAATTTGTTATTAGCTAGAGTTTGCTTGAGAGTTTGTTACGTGTGCTTATTTAGCATATTAAAGTTTGAAATAACAATAACATAAAAGTAGAACTTTGAAATTGAATAAAAAAAAACTTAAAATTTCAATAAAAAAATTCGAATTATACAGAGTTTCGATATATGTAAAATCTCAATACAAATTAATAAATTTGCCTCATAGTCATTATACAGCTTTAAAAATATTTCTTGTTTCGTCAGGAAACAATGATGTTGCATTGACTTACTATACGCTCCGACATAGATTGCAATACGACATCTCTTCGTATGCAGATCAATTGGTCACCTAGGCTTCTGACTTTGCCAATGTAATACCCTTACATATAAATTACCCTAAATGGTTGTAAAATATCTTGAGCTATTGGTTAAAAAAAATCTTTAACTTTTACGTTTTCTGATTTAGATATTTAATTTTTTTGTTTGTAATTAAATTCTTTCATCTCAGACAATATGAGAGATATTTAAAGCCATTAAAATATATTTATGAATTCAGAATATTGTTATTTATGATTCTATGTATGCCAATGTGGTCTGAAATTGATCGAAGAAACAGAAGAACTTGATTGCAGAAAAAAAAAGTTGAAAACCCATACTAAAAAAAAAAATCAAGGATTTAGTTAAGGATACTTTATAATCAATTAGTCTATAAATTATAATCGTGTTTTAATTAAATGGCTATTGATTTAGAAATTGAGGTTTTATATTCTCTTAGAATGTGGATAACTCATTTCTTTTTATTGGTGTAATTGAAGAGTTTACATAGCCTCAGAGCGAGAAAATTTGCATTTTTGAGTACGTTACCATTGGGATGCTGCCGGCAGCTAGAACTATCACAAGAGGGTTACTCTGAGGCTGTTCTGATCATGTCAACGATGGAGCACAAGTGTTCAATTCTAAGTTGTCAGCTGAACTAATTTGTCTTAACAATAGCCTTGCCGACTCCAAGATTTTATATCTTGATGTCTACCATCCTCTGCTTGCTATCATCCAAAATCCTGAAGCATCAGGTAAATGTTCTACACATGGATTTTTTTTTTTAATCCTTTGTAACATCATTGTCATAATCATATTATTAAAAACATAAAGTTAATACTAATTTCAGGTTTTCAAGAAGCTGCCAGAGTGTGTTGTGGCTAGGGAACGGTAGAGGTGGGAATAGCTGCATGTAACCTATTTACTCCCCTTACATGTAACAATGCATCCCAGTATGTGTTTTGGGACGTTGCCCATCCATCGGAAAGAACAAACAGAATTATTGCTTCTCAGACTTTTAACGATGAAGTACCTTGAAACTTCTTGAAAACTACAGTGTTAATATTGATACAATTATCTATAGAATCACAAGCATCTAGCATATTTATACATAATGTTTTTTTCACAACATAGTGATGCAAGCTTCTTCCATTTTTGAAATTGACTCGATCTATTCATTCATAGAGCTATTTATTCTATTGCATATATTTTTTTATTTATTGGAAGCCTAATAAACCTATTTGGTTACAAAATAAGAGTAGTCCTCCCTGTTATATAATTATTAAAAAAAACTAAAGTTATCTTATTGTATACATTTTTAGAACACCTATAGAGGGTTAAATATTCTACTTTACAAAAATGGACTGTTAAACATTAATTTATCTGATCTAGATCGGAGAAATTTATATTAGTATCTCAATTTTAATTCAAAAATGAGTTTCCTTCAGACTTTACGCTCTGCCATTGATTGAAAGCCTTACGATGGGACGACAATTGAATGTTTGCGAATCTACAGTGGCTAAAATAGTAGTTTTCACCCAATAAAAGCCAAGGGACGGCTGTCAAGTTGAAACGAAGCAGCATAGAAAACCCTGATACCACTAGTGACTGTAGCATTTCTACGCTCAAAACGCATCGGTTTGTTCCGTCCCTAAATATAATTTCAATTCGATCATCCCAATTCCGTGAACCAACACTTGCCGCTCCCGCTTTTTAAATCAACCTCCTTTTAGGGTTTTGGTGAAAATGGAGCCTGTAGCTTCAGTAGTAGACAAAATTAAAGGCGTCGCCAAATCAGGCCAAGACCTCGTCGACTGCCTCCTTCGCCGCCGCGAGAATTCTTCTCGCCGCAATCCGGTACTTGCAAATTTCTTATCTTTTATGTTAATTTGCACAACTCAATTCCTTGCCGTTTGTTTTGCAACAAGGTGTTTGATGGAGCCTTACATCTCTTCCCATTTTATTATTTTCAGATTGAGATACTGAAGCGACTGCAACGTGAAACATTTTCAGATCTAATGAAACTCAGAGACAGGCAGGATAAGGTTGAGAGAGTGATTTCATTCTATAAAACATCTAAAGGGGGTCCTTTCCAGGAAACCAGTACACTTGTGAGGGGTGAGGTTGATGCTTCGGGAGCGATATTGATGGTGGGTGGAACTGATCAGGAGCATATTGATGCTGTTGGTAGAGCAGGAGTAAAAACTGGAATTAGTTCAAGGTTAAGTTTTGAAACAATTATTCGGCAGAAAGATACTCTTTTGGCAGAGTTTGTGGCTTTTCAAAAAGGTCTAGTAGATATTGGTGATGTCTCCGAAGGTGCACTTACTTTAGCGAAAGTGTCTTATACGGCAAATGTAAATGACTGGTTTTCTGCCATTGCAATCCCAGTAGGAGCTCAATTTAGAGATCTTGATATGACTGCAACCTCTTCCAATCAGGTATAAATCGATTGCCAATTTTTTCGGTAACTTCAATCTTGTTTCTGTGCTTGTTGTGTACTGGCGTCTATGTGCACATAATTTCAGGGAATCTAATTGAAGAATCAGTATCAGTTACTTTGAATGTCACCAACTAGGCGCGTACACTCTTGATTGGATTTTCTTGAACAGTAAATAGGAATGGTTGCTGCCTGTCTATGTTAAACACTGAGACCTTCCACTTGTGGCTATTATATTCTTTGAATAGATCAGATCAGTTCGATTGACCATGTTGATGAGCATGGTGCTACTCCCATTGCAGCATCCATGTTTCATTCTGTTCTTGAATGGAGCTATGTTCTATGCTGATTTGTATTTTGTTTGGAATTTCTGCTGCCGATGACTCCGAATTTATTTAGTAAATTAACTGAGGTTCCTCTTTTTATGGCAGGGACACGGTGTTACTGATCTTTCATCTGTTGGACCACCACTTTTGAATCAGCAGACTGATTCTGCCATTGGCTTAAAAGTGAGGAAATCGAATGTCATTGCTATGATGGCTCAGTCTTTTTCTGGACTGCGAAGGCATCCATTTTCTGATGAAATTGTTCACTGCTTTGGCACTTTTGGCCAAATTGTCTGCCAATTTCCGAAAGGAATAAAATTCTCACTTATGGGCCTGCAGCAAGTTGCTAAATCATCTAGTCACTGCATCAATCTTGGAGCCCTTGCCATTCCTGTTAGCTTTTCAAAAGATCATGAATCTCCTGAAACATCAGTCCAAGACTCTGCACTATCCGTAGGAGCAACCAGCCATGAAATCACATCAAGAACTGGATCTATAGCTCTAAAGCTGGAGTCAGAACTTGATGAGAGTACCAGAATTGGGGGTTGGATTCAGATGAAAAACGCAAATCCCAAGCATTTACAATGGGCTGTAAATGCATTTGATGATGCAGAAGATGAATTTGGATGGGGTCTGAGTTTCAGCGGGATTGTTGGATGTCCAAGCAACCATGGACGTTTGCAAGCCGAATCGTATGTAAAATTGAATATAGGGAAGAAATTCTGCTTGAAACCAGGCATTGCATATGCAGTGGATGGTAATGCTAAAATATTTGGTCTTATTCTTCGGTCCAACTGGTCTTTCTGATCACCAAGGGATACCCATCCATCCTTTTCACTTCCCTACTTCATGAAACGCTCCCATTTTCAGGAAGCTCATATCTTCTCTTCAATTATATAGTCAGTAGTAGCATTGGTCACTATTATACTGCAATATTATCCACTTATTTGCAAATATGAGTTGCCGAGATTTAGATGCTAAAGACTGGGAAATATTTGCTCACATTCCTATCAACCATGAGTTTGAAAAATCAGGAACTAGTTCTGAACTTCTGATAATGTTTGCACTTCATTTTAACAATTAATCTTGAGCTGGGCTTAAATATGGCTTTGGCTTAACTTTTGGAGAACGTGAACTTTATTAACACTTTCAATCAAGTATTCAAACATTTTTTTTCTTCTTTTGAAATTAGTTAATTTTCTATATTGGCTTTCTTTTCTGTTAACAAAGATGGCTTGATTGCTGAATGAATATAAATTCATTACGGTTAGCATATTATTAATTATCAGTAAAGAAAAAAAATCAAGAGTTCGATTTCTTAATTAAAAAATATAAGTCAAAATTATTTGTTATAAAAAATAAAATAAAAATACTTCTGTTTGATTTAGTTTTGCACTGGGCTACTGCTAGTACTTGCCCTTGTCATAACTAGGCCCCATGGCCACGAGTACCAATCCTGTAATTTGGGCTTTGGGCTTGGCCCTTGATGTATTTTTTGGAAAGGTGAAAGCAATATCCACGTGGCAAGATCGTAAGCAACAACAATCTAACAGCCACCGTTTCCCAGCGTAGATTGACGTCTGTCTACCCAATCCCAAACAGTATAAAGAAAACTGCTGCTGCATCTGATCTTTTCATTACTTATCGTTGTGGCTTCTCTCTCTCTCTCTCTCAATCAAGGAAAGAAAAAGGAAAGCAAAAAAAGAGGAACAATGTCGACGAGCAGGAAATTTACGCTGAAAAGCTCAGATGGAGAGGCTTTTGAAGTAGACGAAGCCGTAGCGCTTGAATCGCAGACTATAAAACACATGATCGAAGATGATTGCGCTGATAACGGTATTCCTTTACCCAACGTCACAAGTAAGATTCTTTCTAAGGTGATCGAGTACTGCAAAAAGCACGTCGAGACTCCTAAATCGGACGATCGTCCTTCTTCTGCTGATGATGATCTTAAAGCTTGGGATACTGAATTCGTCAAAGTTGACCAGGCCACTCTCTTCGATCTTATCCTGGTTTGTTCTTAATCTCTTTTTATTTTGTATGGATATTTTTGTTCTAGTTTTTAATTAGGTTGTTGTCGTGGTTAATTAAATGCTAGGGTTTTGATATAATTGATTCCTAGGGTTTCATTTTAATAGATTTTAATCAGTTGCTAGATTTTTATTAAATCCTAGGGTTAGGTCTTAAATTTGTTTTAGCCGCTACTAAAAGTTGTGTGGCTGTTGAGATGATGAAGTCTCCGGGATATAATTTGAATGAGGAACTCTGTCTTCGTTGGGGATGTTGATTTATATGCCTTTAGATTTCATTTCTTGTAAGATATTTGGTGTTATGAATGTTGCTATTGCAGTACTGCGGCATGAGAATGAGAAATAAGAAAGAATTGGCTTAGAATTTTGGAATTGTAACTGTGGGCTGTGGCCGTGAGCATTCTGTGTGTATGAGTCTGCTGAGAAAGTTTTGTAATAGATCTCAACATGTTATATTTGTGCAGGAGAGCATTTTTGTTTACTGTTGAAGGTTATAAGAATAAGATATAGTTTCTGTAGATGAAGATCTGTTGGAATTTGTTTGACATATTTTAATGTTCTTCATTCTGGCTGTATTTATGTCTGTGTCTGATATTTAATGGATTTGTGTGTGGTGTTCAGGCTGCCAATTTTCTGAACATCAAGAACTTGCTGGACCTCACTTGTCAGACAGTGGCTGATATGATCAAGGGCAAGACCCCAGAAGAGATCCGTAAGACTTTCAACATCAAGAATGACTTTACGCCAGAGGAAGAGGAGGAGGTTCGGAGAGAGAACCAGTGGGCTTTTGAGTAGAAGGAAAGAAGTTCAATCTGTTTATCTAATTGCCTTCTGTGTTGGACATGGATGGATGTTAAGGTTTTAATGTTTTTAAAAACAATTGTCGTCATTTTGTTTCCATGCCCTTTGTATTTCTATAACAGTTTCAATGTGTTGATATAATATGTGTTCTTCCTTTATTCATTTCTTTGTGTTGTAGATTACCTCCTTTATGATTTCTGTGTTTTAGATGACCTAATTATGCCATCTGTTATATGCCATTCTTGTTTCACCATATGATGTTTTTCTACCAGTACTTTGTTGCCCACATATTTTGAACCTGGGAGCAAGTTTTATGTGATTAGGGATGCAATGAAGTGATCGCATTCATGTTTATGTTTGGAAGAACTCCAAATTTAAGGTGATTTTAGGGAGATTCAGGTCCCTTGGAGCCATTTCCTATAAAATATAAGTACAAGACTCAGGAAGCTGTTTTGTCTTGCATCAAGAATTCTTATATCATATATTGAGCTTGAGGTAATATGTTTCTGGCATCTCAAGCATTCTTTTATTTATTACATTTAAAATGCATCTTTTTGATGCAGTTGTTTTCTGAATCACCTACTACTTGCAACGAATGGAGTGCGGACTTTTATTTTTTGACTAGTCCAAATAATTGACCCAAACACTTCTTTCTGTAATGAAGAGACAGTTGGAGTGAAAATTACTTCGTAACTAAGTCTCTGGCCGTTCTTCTTGAACTGCAGGCTAGTTGGACTCACGGCGACTGTTAGGTTGCTAGATGCTTCAATGGTTAGAGAATATATTGTATTACCATCTCCAGCAACGTTTGTGAGGGTTCTGGTAATATTCCTACTCTGTTTTCCAATAAGGTTGAAAACTGCTATTGATGGATAGTTGATATTGGATATCAGATCGACTCTTGAATCCTTCGGACAAGTAAAACCAGCTGGAACATCTTTGGAAATAATTTTAATTGTGGATGTGTTGTACCCGTGATAGCATAGGAAGTTTAAGTAGTCAGTAGTGGTGGTTTCATAAACTAACCCTGGTTGCAATGCTCCACTCGTGCTTAATTCTCCTGCCCCATAATCATAAGCTGTGGCTATGGCACCTAATTCTGTTGTTATTGGGGCTTTCATGTTGTTTATCTGAGATGCTGTATTCCAGAAAAAGGAAGACATCGAGGAATTTATAGATTAATATGAGATTTATGAAATGGGAACCAAGTAATTTACTTTTGCTTGTTATAGACCTTGACCTGTTGTCATAATGGCAGACTTGATTGCAGAGGGACTCCAAGAGGGGTACTGGGATTTGAGCACAGCAGCCATTCCAGAAACATGGGGACATGACATGGAAGTTCCTGACATAATGTGAAATTTTGAGATTTCTTTGCCTCTATCAGTTACTTCTTCTGAATCATAGGCCGTCCAAGCTGCAAGTATGTCTGCTCCTGGCGCTGCGATATCAGGCTGCAAAGCAGGAAGACGAGAGAACAATTTATTCTCAAATATTCATGAATCCAATCAAATAATATGTATATAGGAGGAACAGGCTTTGCCTTGAGGATATTCCTTGAGATGGAGGAAGGCCCTCTGGATGAGAAGTATGCGATAGTCGGTGCTGGCTTATATTGTGAGACTACTGTGGTGGGTAGGATCGTTGCAACTGGATTTCTGGGAAGTTATAAAATTGATCGGAAAATAAGATGCCAGAACCATTCGCAATGAATTTGTAACTCACACAGCTTACACGTAAAGATTGTACCGAGATAACAGTGTCTTACTTGGTTGAGTTTACGTAGGAAAGGATCTCGGCAGCATCCTTTGAACTGATCACAGTCATCGGAAATTCCTGGTAATCGGATGCATCTCCGCTTGTTTTGTCATCAACCAGAACAAGACCAATTCCTCCCGAGTTCTGCACCTCATCCATCTTAATAAATGAGTTTCCATTGTCATAATCACTGTCACAGATGACGATTTTTCCTTTAATCTTTTTCCCATCCAGAGAATCTAGGTAGCAGTTTCTGAACCAATACATGTTCTGCAAACATCAGTATTGCTGCTAATGTCTAGAATCCATCTGAACTATTTGTAGATTTCTTATGAGTTTAAGCTATGCATTTGTAATTGTATGTCATCTTTAGAAGAAAAATAATTGGTTATCACGTAAAGACTGCATACCTAGCTTCACTTTCGTTTCCATCAGCCTTCTTAGCTGACTTTGCATATATCAATGGATGTACTGGAGATATTCCAATACTGGCAAAATTTATGGCTTCACCCTGAATTGAAATGAGAACACACTTCATGTTTCAAATTAACGCCGCAAACTTATAGGATGAAAAATTATTTATAGCAAAAGCAAAAATTAAAGGTAATTTCATCAAGGAAAAGAAATTTAAGTAGTTGCTACTAAAAAGTTTACTTTACCTTGATCACCTTGTTTCCATCAAACACAACATTTGACTCGAATTTTCTGTCTATGGTTGTAGAAGCAACCGTCAAAATCCAGGGTGCAGCATTCGTAACAGTTTTTTCGGATGGCCCATCATTCCCTGCGGCGCAGACCACGGTGATCCCATTCTCAACAGCATGAAAGGCTCCAATGGCTATTGGATCTTCCTTCAAATCGGGGATGCGTGATGCCGGTGAACCTAGTGATAATGACAGTATATCAACACCATCTTTAATGGCATCACTGAATGCAGCTAATATACTGGACCCATCACATCCATTATATGTACATATTCTGTATACTGCGATCCTTGACCCTGGGGATCCACCTTTCGCAGTCCCGGAAGCCAATCCATTGTAAGATGCACCAGGGACCATAATTCCAGCTGCAGTTGAAGCTACATGAGTGCCATGCCCATTCACATCTCTTGGTGTATTAACTAGTCCGTCATCGTCATCGTCGGGGCCATTGTAAGATCTTGCTCCAATTATTTTTCTGTTGAGGATCAAAACTGTGAGGTCACGGATAAATATATCCAAACTAATGTAAGGAAAAGATTTCTGATATCCAAATTCTAGTTGGCAGAGCAGGTTTTACCTATTACAATTGGACGAGTTGAAATCTGGAGCATCGACACAGGTACCTTTCCAGCGTGATGGTATTGGACCCATGCCCTTGTCGCTAAAACTCTCAGACTCGGGCCAAATACCTACATTTCATATGACTCAAAGCTTACACATTCATTTTTGGCAAATAAAAGTGATGCTTTGTATTGAGTTTGTTTAGAAAGTACAAGAGATTTCACCTGTATCTAGGATTCCAATGATCACATCATGTCCCGGAGTAGATGAGTTAGAGTCAGAATTGGGGCTTAAGTCAATCTTTACGTCGGTTCCATATTTCAGGAAATCCCACGAACGAGTGGTGTGGAGTTGGTAGACAGGATTAGGAAAAACTGATACTACTCCAGGGTTTTTAGCAATTGATTGTGCCTCTGCTGCTGATAAACGAGCTGAAAACCCTGAAATTCCATGCTCATAGCTGTGCACTAAAGCATTCTTTCTCCTAGCAAGCACAAAGATATTCAGGTTAATTACAGAACATCTAGATATCAAATTGCATAGGACTTGTTTTCATTTGGTGTTAGCAAATACCAAATGCTCAACTCAGAAAAAAGTTCTTGCTTGCTAGTGACACCGAGGTTAACAAATAGAATAAGAGGTGATATTCCTTATGTATTCACCGTTTTAAGACACAGCTCAGAAGCTGGGCATGCTCATTCTTTAAAGAACCATCTGCTGTCGCAGCTCCCATGTAAACGATATAAACCCCATCGTTCTCTCCCTCGGCTGCTCCGGATTCTACCAGAAATGAAGCAATAAGAAACAATACATAGCACAGGACAGATACTTTCATAGCTTTAACTGATGGCACGACCTCTCTAGTTTAGTGTTCGCTTGGATTCTAGTAAGGAAGCTATTAGACAACCATCTACCATTAGTCCATTACTTGTACTTAGTATATGATGGCTGGCCGCCGTCGACCCAATGTCATATCCACCCAAACTGCGCTATTGCTCAACTTTAGCACTTGACAATTGGATATGGTAGTGGTGGTGGGTGACGGTGCGTGGACGTGACGTTAATAGATGAAGGTACAAGATATTAGACCCTGAACAGTAGTGGAAGATGGCAACTGGCATGCACTTACTAGGCTACGAATTACATTATATTTTCTATAAAAGACAATATATTTCTATTATATATTTTTTATAAAATCGGATATGAATGCTTTACACAGAATTCCCTAACTATTAGTTTACAATATCTTGTTTTGTGCTGCCAATGGACCATTTTCCTTTATAGTAATTGCCCTTGCGAGTTACGACCATGACTAAATGTATAATATTTGAGCACAAATAATTGCCTTCCATAAGGGTAAGCTCGGCTATTTATTTATTTTATTTTATTTGTTTGAGACATAAAAGTACACTGATTATGATTTTTTTCTTCAAATAATTCATTTCATATTAGAGATATAATTAATTATATTAAAAATGAAATTATAACAAAATTTAATATTTTTCAATTAGTATGATTTTAGGATTTGAATTTAATATATTGATAGAAAATTCTCCTAAAACAAGTTCGCTCAACAACTTGGTAGTAGTGACTATGGTTTTTGATGCACGCTTAATAAGATTTTCATCATTTTATATTTGAGGACCAGAATTTAGATTGGGAGTCAATTTTGGCAACGAATATGTAGTGGTGTTAGACTTGAGTAAGGAATCTGGCCAGATGAGTGAAGTGCACCGAAAATAAGATATACTCGTCAAATCAAAGCCGTTGCAAATGCCCAGCCGCACCAAACTATGAGCTATAACACTATAATATCATCCTATGATCTTCTTTTTTATGATTCAATTCGGTCAAACAATGCTTAATAGAATTTGTGGAGTTTGTTGGTATTAAAACACTATCAAAACGAGAACACGACACCACTGTAATATTATTCCATTAGTACTCTATTTTAAGAAACTCATAGACCGCTTAGAACTTGCTTGAGGAGAGAGTGACTAAGATTAGAAAAACCTTGAAACGTCCTATCCACATTGATTGCAGTGACAATTTTCATTGCTTTTCTTGATGTCTATTGTCTCTCTGTTATCTTTATTTCAGAGAGAAAACAAAAGGGAGTGAATTTTCATGGCAGAATGCATCGTTTTGATGCAGTTGTTTTCTGAATCACCTACTAGCAACAAATGGGGCTCCCACTTTAAATTTTTTGCTAGTCCAAATAATCGACCCAAAAACGTCTTTCTATAATGAAGAGACAACTGGAGTGAAAATCACTTGGTAACTCAGTCTCTGCCCATTCTTGGTAAATTGCAGGCTAGTTGGACTCACTGCGATTGTTAGATCGCTCGGTGCTTCAATGGTTAGAGAGTATGCTGTAGTTCCATTTGCAGCAACATTTGTAAGAGTTCTGTTAATGGTCCTGCTCTGTTTTCCAGTGAGGTTGAAAACTGCTATGGATGGATAGTTAATGTTTGACATAAGATCCACGCTTGATTCCTTCGGACAAGTAAAGCCATCGGGAATATCCTTGGAAATAACTTCAATTGTGGGTGTATTGTAGCCGTGATAGCATAGGAAGTTTTAAGTAGTCAGTAGTGATTGTTTCCTAAACAAGCCCTGGTTGCAATGCTCTACTCGTACTTATTTCTCCAGCTCCATAATCATAAGCTGTGGCTGTGGCACCTAATTCTGTTGTTATTGGGGCCTTCATATTGTTTATCTGAGATGCAGAAAAAGAGGACAAAAATGAGGAATTCGTAGATTAATAAGAAATTATGAAACGTGAACTAAGCAATTCATTTTTGCTAGTTATAGATTCTTACCTGTTGTCATAATGGCAGATTTGATTGCAGAGGGACTCCACGGGGGTACTGGGATTTTATGACACCGGCCATTCCAGAAACATGCGGACATGACATGGAAGCTCCTGAGATAATGTTGAATTTTAGGGATTCTTTACGTTTAAGAGTTTCTTCTGTATCATTGTCCATCCAAGCTGCAAGTATGTCGGCTCCTGGAGCTGCAACATCAGGCTGCAAAGCGAGAACACATGAAAAAAAAACAAACCTACTCAGGTAAGGCTGCTGTGACTCGTGAGAGATATTATTTATGGATCGAAGCAAATACTATGGATCTAGGAGGAACAGGCTTTGCCTTTCCTTGTGAGGGAGGAAGGCCCTCTGGATGAGAAGTATGCGATGGTCGGTTCTGGCTTATATTGTGACACCACTGTGGTGGGTAGGATTGTTGCAACTGGATTTCTGGGAAGTTATAATAAATGTTCTTCCTTTATGATTTCTTTGGGTTTTAGACTAACTAATCATGCCATCTGTTATATGCCATTCTTGTTTCACCATATGATGCTTTTCTACCAGTTCTTTGGTGTCCACATATTTGGAACCTGGAAGCAAGTTTTATGTGATTAGGATGTAATGAAGTGATCCAATTCATGTTTATGTCTGAAAGAACTCCAAATTTAAGGCGATTTAGGGAGATTCAGGTCCCTTGGAGCCATTTCCTGTAAAATATAAGTACAAGACTCAGGAAGCTGTTTTGTCTTGCATCAAGCATTCTTATATCATATATTGAACTTTGAGGTAACATGTTTCTAGCATCTCAAGCATTCTTATATTTATTACATAGAAAATACATCTTTCTGGTGCAGTTGTTTTCTGAATCACCTACTACTTGCAACGAATGGAGTGCGGACTTTTATTTTTTGACTAGTCCAAATAATTGACCCAAACACGTCTTTCTGTAATGAAGAGACAGTTGGAGTGAAAATTACTGCGTAACTAAGTCTCTGGCCGTTCTTCTTGAACTGCAGGCTAGTTGGACTCACAGCGACTGTTAGGCTGCTAGATGCTTCAATGGTTAGAGAATATATTGTATTACCATCTCCAGCAACGTTTGTGAGGGTTCTGGTAATATTCCTACTCTGTTTTCCTTTAAGGTTGAAAACTGCTATTGAAGGGTAGTTGATATTGGATATCAGATCGACTCTTGATTGCTTCGGACAAGTAAAACCATGTGGAACATCTTTGGAAATAACTTTGATTGTGGATGTGTTGTACCCCTGATAGCATAGGAAGTTTAAGTAGTCAATAGTGGTGGTTTCATAAACTAGCCCTGGCTGCAATGCTCCACTCGTGCTTAATTCTCCTGCACCATAATCATAAGCTGTGGCTATGGCACCTAATTCTGTCGTTATTGGCGCTTTCATATTGTTTATCTGAGATGCTGTGTTCCAGAAAAGAAGGAAATCGAGGAATTCGTATATTGATATGAGATTATGAAATATGAACCAAGTAATTTACCTTTTCTTGTTATAGTAATTTACCTGTTGTCATAATGGCAGACTTGATTGCAGAAGGACTCCAAGAGGGGTACTGGGATTTGAGCACAGCAGCCATTCCAGAAACATGTGGACATGCCATGGAGGTTCCTGACATAATGTGAAATTTTGAGATTTTTTTACCTTTATCAGTTACTTCTTCTGAATTATAGGCCGTCCAAGCTGCAAGTATGTCTACTCCTGGTGCTGCAATATCAGGCTGCAAAGCAGGAAGAAAGAGAACGATTTATTCACACATCCTCATGAATCCAATCAAATAATATGTATCTAGGAGGAACAGGCTTTGCCTTGAGGATATTCCTTGAGATGGAGGAAGGCCCTCTGGATGAGAAGTATGCGATAGCAGGTGCCGGCTTATATTGTGACACTACTGCGGTGGGTAGGATCGTTGCAACTGGATTTCTGGGAAGTTATAAAATTGATCAGAAAATAAGATGACATGACTATTCGCAATGAATTTGTAACTCATGCAGCTTACGTATGAAGATTGTACCGAGATAATTGCGTCTTACTTGGTTGAGTTTAGGTAGGAAAGGATCCCGGCGGCATCCTTTGAACTGATCACAGTCATCGGAAATTCCTCGTAATCAGATGCATCTCCCCTTGTCTTGTCATCAACCAGAACAACACCAATTCCTCCAGAATTCTTCACCTCGTACATCTTAAGAAATGAGTTTCCATTTTCGCCATCATTTTCGCAGATGACGATTTTTCCTTTGATCTTTTTCCCATCCAGAGAATCCAGGTCACAGTTTCTGAACCAATAAATATTGTTCTGTAAACATCAGTATTGGTGCTAATGTCTAGGATCCATCCGAACTATTTGTAGATTTCTTACGAATTTAAGCTAAGCATTTGTAATTGTTTGTCATCTTTAGAAGCAAATAATGGGTTGTCACATAAATGTTGCATACCTAGCATTACTTTCGGATCCACCAGCCTTCTTAGCTGACTTTGCATGTATCAACGGATGTACTGGAGATTTTCCAATACTGGCAAAATTTATGGCTTCACCCTGAATTGAAATGAGAACACACTTCATGTTTCAAATTAACGTCGCAAACTTATAGGATGAAAAATTATTTATAGCAAAAGCAAAAATTAAAGGTAATTTCATCAATTAAAAGAAGTTCAAGTAATTGCTACTAAAAAGTTGCCATTACCTTGATCACCTTGTTTCCATCAAACACAACATTTGACATGAATTTCCGGTCAATGGTTGTAGCAGCAACTGTCAAAATCCATGGTGCAGCATTCGAAACAGTTTTTTCGGATGGCCCATCATTCCCTGCGGAGCAGACCACGGTGATCCCATTCTCAACAGCATGAAAGGCTCCAATGGCTATTGGATCTTCCTTCAAATCGAAGATGTGTGATGCCGGGTAACCTAGTGATAATGACAGTATATCAACGCCATCTTTAATGGCATCACTGAATGCAGCTAATATACTGGACCCCTCACATCCATTATATGTACATATTCTGTACACTGCGATCCTTGACCCGGGGGATCCACCTTTCGCAGTCCCGGAAGCCAATCCATTGTAAGATGCACCAGGGACCATAATTCCAGCTGCAGTTGAAGCTACATGAGTGCCATGCCCATTCATATCTCTTGGTGTATTAACTAGTCCATCATCGTCATCGTCGGGGCCATTGTAAGATCTTGCTCCGATTATTTTTCTGTTGAGGATCAAAACTGTGAGGTCACGGATAAACATATCCAAACTAATGTAAGGAAAAGATTTCTGACATCCAAATTCTAGTTGGCAGAGCAGGTTTTACCTATTACAATTGGATGAGTTGAAATCTGGAGCATCGACACAGGTACCTTTCCAGCGTGATGGTATTGGACCCATGCCCTTGTCGCTAAAACTCTCAGACTCGGGCCAAATACCTACATTTCATATGACTCAAAGCTTACACATTCATTTTTGGCAAATAAAAGTGATGCTTTGTATTGAGTTTGTTTAGAAAGTACAAGAGATTTCACCTGTATCTAGGATTCCAATGATCACATCTTGTCCTCGAGAAGATGAGTTGGTGTCAGAATTGGGGCTTAAGTCAATCTTTACATCGGTTCCATATTTCAGGAAATCCCACGAACGAGTTGTGTGTAGTTGGTAGACAGAATCAGGAAATACTGATACTACTCCGGGGTTTTTAGCAATTGATTGTGCCTCTGCTGCTGATAAACGAGCTGCAAACCCTGAAATTCCATGCTCATAGCTGTGCACTAAAGCATTCTTTCTCCTAGCAAGCACAAAATATTCAGGTTAACTGCAGAAACATCTTGATATCAAATTGCATAGGATTTGTTTTCATTTGGTGTTAGCAGCAAATACCAAATGCTCAACCCAGAAAAAAGTTCTTAGTTGCTAGTAACACTGAACTTAACAAAAAGAATAAGAAGTGATATTCGTTATATATTCACCGTTTTAAGACAGAGCTCAGAAGCTGGGCATGCTCATTCTTTAAAGAACCATCTGCTGTCGCAGCTCCCATGTAAACAATATAAACACCATCCTTCTCTCCCTCAGCAGCTCCTGATTCTACCAGAAATGAAGCAATAAGAAACAATACACAGCATAGGATAGATGCTTTCATAGCTTTAACTGATGGCAAGACCTCTCTAGTTTAGAGTTACTTGGATTCTAGTGAGGAAGCTATTAGACAACCATCTACCGCTACTTATACTAGTATATGATGGCAGGCAGCCGCAGACCCAATGTCATGTCAACCCAAACTGCGCTACTGCTCAACTTTAGCACTTGACAATTGGATATGGTAGTGGTGGGTGACGGTGCATGGGAGGGACGGTAATCCACGACGGTACAAGTTATTAGACTCTGATCGGTAGATATCTAGAAATTTTATAATATTTAAAATATATATATATATATATATGTACAATAGCTTTTTTTATAAATTTATTTTTCATGAGAGAGATAAACACATAAAAAAAATCATATATGGATCTATGAAAAATGATAAGAAGATTTTTACTTTGACTTAAATTTTTTTTTCTAATTTTTTTAAATTTTTTCTCCTTTTTTTTTTTTTTTATGTCTATATCTCTCTAGAGTAACTTATATTATTTATTTTTTTAGTATTATAAAATTTCCTATATACAAGCTGTTAATGAACAGTGAGAAAGGTCGCACCTGGCATGTACTTGCTAGGCTACAAATTACATATTTTTTATATATTCGGATCTGAATGTTTTACACCGAATTCCCTAACTATTAGTTAACAATATCTTGTTTTGTGTTGCCAATGAACCATTTTCCTTCATTGTAATTGCCCTTACGACCCTGACTAAATGTATAATATTTGAGCATAAATGTATAGCAAATTGCTTTCCAACAAGGGTCAAGCTCGGTTTTTATTTTTTGAGACATAAAGGAACAATGGTTATGATTTTTTTTCTATTAAAAATAAGATTAATTATATTCGAAACGAAAGTAATAAAATTTAATATTTTTCAACAGATTTAATATTAAAATTTAAATTCTAGACATTAGCAAAAAAATTCATATGAAAAATCAATTCCTTTAATACTAGCTAATAACTTATTGGTAATGATTACGATTTTTGGTGCATGCTTAAGATTTTCGTCATTTTAGATATTGTGTACAAGAAATTAGATCGGGGGTCAATTTTGGCAACGAATATACAGTGGTGTTAGACATGAGTAAGGAATCTGGCGTGACGAGTAAAGTGCGCCAAAAATAGGATGTATTCGTCAAATCAGAGCTGTTGTAAATGCCCAGCCGCACCAAACCATGAGCTATGGCACTCTAATATCATCCCATGATCTTTTTTTTTTTTTTTTTTTTTTTTTTTTAATGCTTCAATTCGGTCAAACAATGTTTAATGGAATTTGTGGAGTTTGTTGGTATTAAAAAACCATTAACTAAAAAGCTAAAAAAAATCTGAGACAAATGAGCAGTAAATTACTGTCAAAGGGCGCATTTTCATATTTTTGATGTTTTTTTTCATTCATTTTCAAATTTTAAACTTCATCTTTTTGGTCTCTTATGTTTTCAAAATATATTTTTAAATCCTTATATTTTTAAAAATATTTTGACATCTCATGTTTTTAACTTAGTCCATTTTTGCCTCATTTTTTTTCAAAATATATTTTTTGTTCCTCATGTTTTTAAAAAATAGTTTTGGCCTTCTATGTTTTTAAATCTTAGAACAAACACATATATCAAATTATATTTTTTTACTGATTAAAATTAATATCTTAAATTTATCGTTTATTATAAAAATTCTCATCAAATTAATTTTTTTATGAAATTTTATTTGTTAATAAATATGATTTATTTTTCTCTCGTGTATGAACTTTTAATATTTTTTAATAAATAATAGAATTCGTGCATTTCTTTACCTTATTCTTGATATAATCAATTTTTTTGGAATAAAATTTTAAATTATTTTTATTGCACTCTATTAACTTTAATATATTTCTTACACCTTAAGTTTCTTTAAACATATTTTTTTAATTTGTACATAGTATGATAATGATGTATACAAAAAAGTATTGAGATCAATGATTTTATTAAAAATTAATTATGCATCTATACATATACTACCAGCTATTTCCTATTAATTATTTTTAATATTCTAAATTTAATTTATTTTAAATGAAATAATATTTTAAAAGAACCATCTAATAATTCAAATACATGTTTTTATACCTAATATTATTGATTGTTTTGTATGTGTATTTGTTTGTCTATATATCAAATGTATATATTTTTAAAAAGTTTAAAAAGATTCATTAGTTGATTTTTATATTGATTGTTGATATATTTCTTCGATATAGTCTTATGAAAAAAATATTAAGATATTTTTTAAAATTTTATATTGAATTTTATATTTATATTACTGTAGGTTTTTATTTAAGAATGTATAAATTAAAAAAAAAATGAATCGTGTTTTTTTAACAACAAAATCTATAAAAAAAACATAAAACAAAACAAATAAAATACAAAATTTGATTAAATATTATGAAATAAAATAAAATTTTTATCTTTTATTTTTAATTTAATATATATTAGTAGAAAAAAACTAAAAGAACTCAAATATTTATTATTCATTTATTATTGTTTTAGACTTAGATTCACTATTCACTATCTTTTATTTTTTATTTCTCTTTTGCCATTCAATGGATTTGAGAAACTCCTTTTTAACCTTGATTGAATCTCCTTTTACTTTTCTTTTTGGTCATTTTTTTGTCATTTCCTTCTTTTTTTTTCTTTTTTCTTTTTTTCAAATTGAGCATTTAATGCTCCTGTCTTCTTTCAATGTTTTTTTCTTCTTATTTTAGACAGAAGCCACTTGTTATTTTAGAGTGACTGTAAATTAGTCCCTCTTTCTTCAAGAAACAAATTAATTAGTCATTTTGGTTCAAAAACTAATTTTTTGATCCTTTTTGCTATTTCAATGTTTTTATTTTTTGTTTTAAAAAATAGAGAAAGAAGAAAAAAATGTGTAAAAATATGAAAAAAAAACATTTTATGAAATAAAAAAATAAATTATTCATGGTCAACACTGATTAAAAAAATTAAATAATTTATTTTTTAAATAAAAAAACTAATAATTCATTTCTCAAAATGAGATAAACTAATTTATAATTTAATTTGCAATTCAAGTATCTCTTTCATCATAGATTAAGAAGTAAAATTTACGAGAACCAATTTTGTATTAGTTTTTATTTCAATCTATTGACTTAATAAATTCTTCACAACTTAGATTTTTTAAAAAATATATATATATATATATATATATATATATATATATATATATATATATATATATATATATATATATATATATATATATATATTTATACTATATATTATGAATCTATTAAGTATGATTATATATATTTATTAAAAATTAATTATGTATCTACATACATAACACTAATTATTTATAATTTATTCTTTTTTATATTCTAAAATTAATATTTTTAAATAACTAATTGAAATATATATCATTAGTTTTGTTATAAATTAATTTGCACACATAACCCTGATTATTTGTTTTTTTTTTTATGTTCTAAAATTAATATTTTTTAAATAAATAATTGAAATAATGTTTTAGAAGAACCTTTCAATTATTCAAATACAACTTTTTATGCTAATGTTATTGATTATTTTGTTAATAAATATATATAAATCAAACGATTTTGCTCGGCAAATAGATTTGATTCACATTAATTATGAGAAATAAAATTTTTACCTGTACTATATCATACAAATCATTGACCTTACATATATAACGGTTTTTTGATCGCGGCGTAGCGCGAATATCTAACTAGTCAAAACGAAAACACAACAACACGGTAATAAAAACTTGAATAACTTAAATTTTATTCATGAATGGTCTCTTGTCAAAAGATTATTATAACTCTTTAAATAAATAAAAACTCTAATGATATTGAACAGAAAAAAATAAAAATATAATCCTAACCTATTAGAAACCACTTATCTAATTAAATAAGAAAATATTAAAATTAAATAAATATTATAATAAAAATAATTATGTGTTAAAATCAGGTGATACCAAAGCCTCAGACTCTCTCATTTAGTAATTCAAATTGACATGGCAAATCTTTTATCTTCAAAACTCGAAATCATGTTTTATATATATATATATATATATAAAGTATTTTTGGGTTATTTTTTCATCAATTAAGACTAAACATATCTCTTACAATCCCAATCCCCCCCCCCCCTTTTTTCAATCCTCTTTCTTACCCATTGATTCTTTCTTCTCTCTCTTTATTTTATTTTATTTTTTTATGCCCACTGCTTGTCCAAAATTAAACAAAGATACTAACATGCTTTGAAACCATAAAAATTCATAAAATAACTAAAATTTAAGGAAAAATTGGTGGAATCGGAAAAAATGCTCTTTCTTTTCTTTTCTTTTTTTTACCTCTTCTTTTTGGATCTTTGGGATAAATTTATAAGATTCCATGGTCAAAAACAATTTATGACAAGAATTATAGCAATGAACAAGAATAAAAGTATACCATCATAAAATTTTAATTTTTTAAATAAAATTCTAAAAAGTGTTTTGAGGTGAAAAATAGAAGAAGATATATAAATTAAGAACCTTACGTAAAAAAATTTACTGTGAAGTATTTTTGGGTTAAATTTAGCATCAATTAAGACGGAATATATCATTTTCAAGCTAAATTAGAACCATAATATGCCTAATTTTTAGTTATGGACCGCCTCTTATGTCAATTAAAACCAAACCTAATAACATAAAATGATAAGTATGATTAATTGATCCTTAATTTTGACCAAACTAACACAAAACTCTTCTCCCTACACCACAACCCTTGTGGTCGAATTTAGGTTTTTACACTAGCTGAATAAGTGAGAAAAACAAAACAAAACATGGCAACAAAGCCTGCAGTGGCAGCCTCCATTAGTACTCTATTTTAAGAAACTCAAGCGCCGCGCAGAACTTGCTTGAGGAGAGAGTGACTAAGATTCGAAAAACCTTAAAACATCCTATCCACATTGATTGCAGTGACAATTTTCATTGCTTTTCCTGATGTTCATTGTCTCTCTGTTATCTTTATTTCAGAGTCTGGATCGATAAAGAGAAAACAAAAGGGAGTGAATTTTCACCGTTGAATGCATCTTTTTGATGCAGTTGTTTTCCGAATCACCTACTACTTACAACAAATGGAGTTCGGACTTTAAATTTTTTGCTAGTCCAAATAATCGACCCAAAAACGTCTTTCTGTAATGAAGAAACAGTAGGAGTGAAAATCACTTGATAACTCAGTCTCTGCCCATTCTTGGTAAATTGAAGGCTAGTTGGACTCACCGCGATTGTTAGATCGCTCGGTGCTTCAATGGTTAGAGAGTATGCTGTAGTACCATCTCCAGCAACATTTGTAAGAGTTCTGTTAATGGTCCTGCTCTGTTTTCCAGTGAGGTTGAAAACAGCTATGGATGGATAGTTGATGTTGGACATAAGATCCACGCTTGATTCCTCAGGACAAGTAAACCCATCTGGAACATCCTTGGAAATAGCTTTTATTGTGGATGTATCGTAGCCGTGATAGCATAGGAAGTTTAAGTAGTCAATAGTGGTTGTTTCATAAACAAGCCCTGGTTGCAGCGCTCCACTCGTACTTATTTCTCCAGCCCCAAAGTCATAAGCTGTGGCTATGGCACCTAATTCTGTTGTTATTGGGGCCTTCATATTGTTTATCTGAGATGCTGTACGAGGAATTCGTAGATTAATATGAAATTATGAAACATGAACTAAGCAATTCAATTTTGCTAGTTATAGATTCTTACCTGTTGTCATAATGGCAGATTTGATTGCAGAGGGACCCCACGAGGGGTACTGGGATTTTACTACACCAGCCATTCCAGAAACATGTGGACATGACATGGAAGTTCCTGAGATAATGTTGAATTTTGGGGATTCTTTACCTTTAAGAGTCACTTCAGTATCATTGTCCATCCAAGCTGCAAGTATGTCTGCTCCTGGAGCTGCAATATCAGGCTGCAAAGCAAGAAAACATGAAAAAAATGTATTCACACTCGTACTCACGTAAGGCTGCTGTGTCTCAAGAGAGTTATTATTTATGGATCGAATCAAATACTATGGAACTAGGAGGAACAGGCTTTGCCTTGAGGATATTCCTGGAGAGGGAGGAAGGGCCTCTGGATGAGAAGTATGCGATAGTCGGTGCTGGCTTATATTGTGACGCCACTGTGGTGGGTAGGATTGTTGCAACTGGATTTCTGGGAAGTTGTAAAATTTGTCAGAACTAAGTTTCCATAAACGTTGTCTTGAATTTGTTACTCATACATCTACATAGTGTCTTACTTGGTTGAGTTTAGGTAGGAAAGGATATCGGCAGCATCCTTCGAACTGATCACAGTCAATGGAAATTCCATGTAATTATAAGCAACTCCGCTTGTCTTGTCATCAACCAAAACAAGACCAATACCTCCCAAAATCTGCACTTCGTCCTTCTTGTCATACGGTGAGTATGAATCATCATCATTATCACACATGACGATTTTTCCTTTTATCATTTTCCCATCCATAGATTCAGGGTTGCAGTTTCTGAACCAATACATGTTTTGTAATACAAGGATTAGTGCAGTGTCTCGGATCGACATGAACTTGTAATTGTTAGTCATCTTTAGAAACAAAATAAAGGGCTATCACGTAAATATTGCATACCTAGCCTCACTTTCAGTCACGTCAGTATTCTTGGCTGACTTTGCATATATCAACGGATGTACCGGAAATTTTCCAATACTGGCAAAATTTATGGCTTCACCCTGAATTGAAATAAGAACACTCTTCATGTTTCAGTTGACATAATCTTATGGAATGAAAGATCATCAAAATTAATTTCATCAAGTAAAAGAAATTTAGTTGCTACTAGAAAAATAGCATCACCTTGATCAACTTATTTCCATCCAACACAACATTTGACTCAAATTTCCGGTCTATGGTTGTAGCAGCAACTGTCAGAATCCAGGGTGCAACATTCGAAACCGATCCTTCGGATGGCCCATCATTCCCTGCAGAGCAGACAACAGTAATCCCATTCTCAACAGCATGGAAAGCTCCAATGGCTATTGGATCTTGCTTAAAATCGACCATAAATGCTGCTGGTGAACCTAGTGATAATGATAGTATATCAACACCATCTTTAATGGCATCACTGAATGCGGCTAATATACTGGAACCAGGACATCCAATTCGTGTACAAACTCTGTATGCAGCGATCCTTGACCCAGGGGATCCCCCTTTTGCAATCCCAGTAGCTAATCCATAGTAAGATGCACTAGAGACCATAATTCCTGCTGCAGTCGAAGCTACATGAGTGCCATGCCCAATCATATCTCTTGGTGTATTATCCAGTCTATCACCATCATCACCGTAAGATCTTGCTCCAATTATTTTTCTGTTGAGAATCAAACTCTTTAAGATTATGTATAAACAAGCAAAATAATTGAAGGATAAATGACTAGTGTACATCTTACATATCATAGATCGAAATTCTAATTGGCAGAGCAGGTTTTACCTATTACAATTGGATGAGTTGAAATCATGCGCATCGGCACAGGAACCGTTCCAGCGCGATGGTATTGAACCCAAATCCTTGTCACTAAAACTCTCAGACTCGGGCCAAATACCTATATTACATATAACTCAAAGCTTACACATAAAAATGATGTTTTGTATTGAGTTTTTATAGCAAGGACAAGATATTTCACCTGTATCTATAATTCCAATGATCGCATCATATCCTGGAGAAGAGGAGTTAGAGTCAGAATTGGGGCGTAAGTCAATCTTTACATCGGTTCCATATTTCAAGAAATCCCAGGAACGAGTTGTGTGAAGTTGGTAGACAGGATCAGGAAAAACTGATACAACTCCGGGTTTTTTAGCTATTGATTGTGCTTCTGCTGCTGATAAACGAGCTGCAAACCCTGAAATTCCATGTTCATAACTGTGCACTACAGCATTCTTTCTCCTGGCAGGGCAAAGATATTCAGGTTATTATCCAATTGCATCTGTAAGTAAAAACAATCTTCCCATATTTTTTTCTCAGATTGTATTATCTTCTCCGATTTATAAATGTTCAGGCACATTGCATGTGAATTATAAAACCCGGATAGGAAATGATACAAAGCCAACTTAGTTTTTAGCAAGTGGACGTAGACCAAAAGTCTTGGTTGATTCTATAGTTGTCTTCATTTGGTGTTAGATAGCATTAAAATACCAAAAGGCCAGCAGACTCTTAATTGCTAGCTAGAACAGAATATTATTGATACATAGCTTTTAAAAAAGAAAAAGAAAAAAAAAAGCGATATTCCTCATTTATTCACCGTTTCAAAACAGAGCTCAGAAGCTGGGCATGGTGATTCTTTGAAGAAACATCTGCTGTCGCAGCTCCCATGTAAACAATATAAACACCATCCTTATCTCCTTCAGCTGCTCCTTCAGCTGCTCCTAATTCTACCAGAAATGCAAGAAAGAGGATAAGAAACAATACATAAAATATGGAATAACCTTTCATAGCTTTAACTGATTGCAAGACCCTCTCTAGTTTATTGATGCTTGGATATAACTTCGGAAGTGATGAAGCTGTTAGGTAGACAGCCATCTACTGCTACTTATACTAGTATGATGGTGCTTTTATGTGATAGTAGGAAGCCATAAATCCAATGCCATATCCACCCAAAGTGCGCTATTGCTCATCTTTAGCACTTAGACACACTGTATACGGTGGTGGTGGTGGTGGTGGGGCGGTGATAGGTGTAGGTACAAGATATTTTTAGAGTAATTGCCCTTATGGCACTAACTAAATCTGCCAACATCTTCTCGAGCATAAATGCAGTAGCAAAGAAGGTTGGCAACGGAACCACTCAAGCGCTTAAAGCCCGTTTGTTTGCCGAAAAACACATTCTTTTTGGAAATGAATGTTGAGAAAATAAATTGTTTAAGGATATTTGGACGAGAAAATTGTTCGGACAAACGTATGGGTCTTTTTAATCTTCGGAAAAAAAAAAAAAAACAGAGGTTAATTAGTCTCCATTGTGATTGTTTCTATATATAATTGTCCCGGCCTAAATTTGCCAACTCTTGAAGCACAAATGTAGCCAAGAAATTTGGCAACGTAACCACTCGTGCCATTTATGTGGGCATATAACTTTCCAACTTGGGACGAATGCTGTATTTTTGTCCATTTTTCAATAGTTGATGATAATAAGGTTTCCAAGTCTAAAATTGTGCCCGTTTGTGAGTTGTAACTCTAAGGGAGTCCTGTTGTTGCCCATGTGGTAAAATACTCAATTGAACAAAATGGAGCCCAAGAAAAAGGAAGATGTTAGCAACCAACATCTTTAAAATGTGATTGCTTTTCTTTTAATCATCAACATGTAATTCTTTTTAGAATTATAGGGCCAGTACTTACTTCTTTCGTTCTTTTTTTCATCCAGTAATTACCTTTTTTTATTTTCTGAAAAACACATTCCTCTTAGCAATCAATGTTGAGAAAATAAATTGTTTTAGGATATTTGACTGACAATGGTTCGAACAAACATGTGGGTCTTTTTTCTCTTCAAAAAAAAGAAAAAAGAAAAAAGAAAAAAAGCAAAGGTTGATTAATCTCCATCGTGATTGCTTTCCACTAAAGATCAGGCACGTGCATGCCCTTTTGAGACATAAAGTGACAGTAATTACTTCTTCCAATCATATTTTTGGTGCACGCGTGAGAATGATTTTCATTATTTTCATATTTGGGGACAAGAATTTTTTATCTGGTAATGGGTATCGATTTGGGAGCAATATATAAGTAGTGGTGTTAGACTTCGGATAAGAATAGTAAGATGCACCCAAATCATTTTATTATTATTTTTTTAATGATTTTGTTCATTCTTTTACTTCATAGAAAACTTGTTTATCTACAATAATCACATCTTAGCGGGTATAATTCAGTAGTAAAAGTGCGATTAATTAGGATAACGCTCATCAAATCAAGCTTTTGACAAGCCCTGCCACACCAAAATTAGGATTCACAAACTCATGTTAAAAATCCATGTTGATTTTTGTCCTATTGATCAGAAATTGTTACTTATATTTTGGACGATGAGAATTGATATTGGCATCGGTATATATTTATTTTTATTACTTGTAAAAAGCATCTTTTTGATGCGGTTGTTTTCTGAATCACTTACTACTTACAACAAATGGAGTTCGGACTTTAAATTTTTTGTTAGCCCATATAATCGACCCAAAAACGTCTTCCTTTAATGAAGAGACAGTTGGCTTGAAAATTACTTGATAACTCAGTCTCTGCCCATTTTTGTTAAATTGCAGGCTAGTCGGACTCACTTCGATTTTCAGAACGCTCGGTGGTGCTTCAGTGGTTAGAGAGTATGTTATAGTACCATCTCCAGCAACATTTGTAAGGGTTCTGTTAACAGCCCTGGTCTGATTTCCAGTGAGGTTGAAAACTGCTATGGACGGATAGTTGATGTTGGACATAAGATCAACGCTTGAGTCCTTCGGACAAGCAAAACCAGCTGGAACATCTTTTGAAATAACTTTGATTGTGGATGTATTGTAGCCGTGATAGCATAGGAAGTTTAAGTAGTCAATGGTTGTGGTTTCATAAACAAGACCTGGTTGTAATGGTCCACTGATGCTTATTTCTCCCGCCCCATAATCATAAGCTGTGGCTATGGAACCTAATTCTGTTGTTATTGAGCCCCCCGTATTGCTTATCTGAGATGCTGTAGGGCAGAAAAAAGAACAAAAGGATTCGTATATTAGTATGGAATTATGAAAAGAACTACGAGATTTAATTTTGGTTGTCCTGGATCTTTACCTGTTGTCATAATGGCTGATTTGATTGCAGAGGGACTCCATGAGGGGTACTGGGATTTGACCACAGCAGCCATTCCAGAAACATGTGGACATGACATGGAAGTTCCTGAGATAATGTTGAATTTTGGGGATTCTTTACCTTTAAGAGTCACTGCGGTATCATTGTCCAACCAAGCTGCAAGTATGTCTGTTCCTGGAGCTGCAATATCAGGCTGCAAAGTGCAAAGCAAGAAGACAAGAGAACAATTTATTCAGACATATACTCAGGCGAGGCTAGTGTTTCTCGTGGGAGATATTATTCATGAATCCAATCAAATAACGTGTCTAGGAGGAAGAGGCTTTGCCTTTAGGATACTTCTTGAGATGAAGGAAGGCCCTCTGGATGAAAAGAATGCCATAAAAGGTGCTGGCTTATATCGCGACACCACAAATGTAGGTAGGATTGTTGCAACTGGATTTCTAGGAAGTTACAAAATTTGTCAGGTAATAAATTGCCATAAATTTGTAGCTGATACAGCTGAATTGTATCGAGATGATTGTGTGTATCTTACTTGGTTGAGTTAATGTAGGAAAAAACCTCAGCAGCATCCTTTGAACGGATCACAGTCATTGGAAATTCCTGGAAATTATTTGCAAGTCCCCTTGACCTGTCCTCAACCAAAACAAGTCCAATTCCTCCCAAGTTCTGCACTTCCGATTTCTTGACATACTGTGACCCTGTATCGTTATAATTCTCACAGATGACGATCTTTCCTTTGATCGTGTCATCGGCCATAGAATCTGGGAAGCAGTCTCTGAAGCAATACATGTTCTATAGCATTAGTTTTGGTGCCAAAGTTTTAGAATCCATATGAACAATTTGTGGATTTCTTTATGGGAAAAATAAAGAGTTTATCAAAATAAATATTGCATACCTAACTAACTTAGTTCCATATACCAACGGATGCACTGGAGATTTTCCAATATTGGCAAAATTTATGGCTTCACCCTGAATTGAAATCAGAACAGTCGTCATGTTGCAATTGACACGATCTTATAGGATGGAGTTAGCACAAGTGAGAATCGAAGGTAATTTTGCTGAGGATCGGAATTAACTTCTACCCAGGAATATCATTACCTTAATCACCTTGTTATCACCCAACACAAATTCTGACCCAAACTTCCTGTCAATGGTTGTAGCGGCAACGGTCAAAATCCAGGGTGCAACATTCTTAACTGTTCCTTTGGTTGGCCCTTCGTTTCCTGCAGAGCATACCACGGTGATCCCATTCTCGACAGCATGGAACGCTCCAATGGCTATTGGATCTTCCTTAAAATCTGGCATATAAAATCCTGCTGAACCTAGTGATAATGATAGTATATCAACACCATCTGCAATGGCATCACTGAATGCAGCTAAAATACTGGACCCATCACATCCTTTCTCTGAACATACTTTATACACGGCAATCCTTGATCCAGGGGATCCACCTTTCGCTGTCCCAGTAGCTAAGCCATAGTAAGATGCACCAGAGACCATAGTTCCTGCTGCAGTTGAGGCAACATGAGTGCCGTGCCCTATCGTATCTCTCGGTGAATTACGTAGTCCATCATCGATATCGTCAGGGCCAACGTAAGACCTTGCTCCAATTATTTTTCTGTTTAGAATCAGCAATACCATAGATAAGCAAGCAAGCTAACGAAGGGAAAAATGATGTATGTGTACGCTGTGAATCCTGGATGTCTTACGGTCAAATTCTAAGTGGCAGAGATCAGATTTACCTATTACAGTTGGATGAATTGAAATCATGCGCTTCAGCACAGGCACCCTTCCAGCGTGATGGTATTGGACCCATATCCTTGTCGTTGAAACTCTCAGACTCAGGCCAAATACCTATGTTACATTGATGGGACTCTCAGCAGACAAGTCAATTGTAGGAAAAAGAAATGATTCTGTAATTACCATTGAGTTTAGGCTGTAAGTACATGAGGTTCACCTGTATCTAAAAATCCAATGATCGTGTCAGATTCTTGAGAAGACGAGTTCGAATCATAATGCGGATTCGAGTCAATCTCTGGATCGGTTCCATACTCCAAGAAATCCCATGAACGAGTTGTGTGGAGTTGGTAGACAGGATCAGGAAAAACTGATACTACTCCAGGTTTTTTAGCAATTGATTGTGCTTCTGCTGCTGATAAACGAGCTGCAAACCCTGAAATTCCATGTTCATAGCTGTGCACTAGAGCATTCTTTCTCCTAACAAGCACAAAGAAATTCGAGTTATTATAAACTCAATGTCCCAAAGAAAATCCTGACATGCATGAAATTGCATTTTGTGCGTAAAAACTCGTCTTTGTCTCCTAACAAGCACAAAGATACTCTACTTGTTGCTAGAGTGTTAAATATTAATATTTGACAAAGAGTTGACACTCAGGAATAGTAAGAAAGACACTAAAAAAAGAAAAAAAAAAAAGAAAAAAGAAAAAGGTGATTCTATAAATATATTCACCGTCTTAACAAAGATCTCAGAAGCTGAGCATGCTCATTCTTTAAAGAACCATTTGCTGCCGCAGCTCCCATGTAGACAATATAAACCCCATCCTTGTCTCCCTCAGCTGCTCCTGAATATTCTATCAGAAATGCAACAGAGAGGAGGAAAAAGAATACATAGCATATGGTAAAACTTTTCATAGCTTTAAGTACTGATTTCACGTACTCTCTAGCTAGCTTAGTGATGCTTGGATTTAAGTGAAAAGGCTAGTAAGCAGACTGGTGCTATTTATAATAGCATTAATGTTCGTGCAAACCGTGTTTGCTCAGTTTTTGCACTTGATATTTGGATGTGGTGCTGGTGGTGACGGTGCATGGAAGTGGTGGTGGCAGGTGGAGAGATATAGGACATAATTGGGTTAGCTATAAAAATGCCTCAGACCTATAATAATTGGGGTTATTGCTGTTCATTAATGGGCAAAGTTTCGAACAATAAATTTTGTCCTTAGCATTACTTAATATTTTCAAAATCAAATTTCCATCAAATCTCTTTTAAAAATAATAGATGTAATTGCCAAATGACTCATATATCTTGCATCTATTTCATTAAGTTGAGAAAAAGAAAGGAAAAACAGTCTAAAATCCATAAATCCACCCTTAATACCAAGTTGTTTAATGGTTCTAATGATTGTTTTTTAAAAGATAATTGACAAAAGGATGACATTGAAAATATTATAGAATTAGTAGAATCAACAAAAATGTTGATGACTGAAATGCTAATTAAATTCGTATGAGATCGATAAGCAGAATTTACAGATAAAATATTTTATTTCTATACCTTTTAGAATTTCATGAATTGCTATTATTTACAATATTTGAGAAAAAAGAGAATAACATGTTACATGATAAGGTCGGAAGATTTTAACTGATGTAACTGGTTTGGGTTATTAAAAAAAAAGTCTAATATAGAGTTTTTAATACTTCTTTTTATAAAACTCAGTATTCAATTGTAATTTTTTTTAATGTCCATCAAAATTGGTCATTTGTTAATTAAATTTTTGTCACAATAAATGTTGGTTTGTAACAGGATGAATTGCTACTTTGTCTTTTTTTATTAATAATAAAATTTTCTCATTTATCAAAAAAAAAAAAAATCCTCAAATTAATAAGAGATAACATTATACATAACTAAAAGAACTGAAATATATCCACAATAAGTCAATAATGATCAACGGTACTCTAATTTTTTTTTAACTCGGCTGCTCCGTTTGGCCTCTTTCTCACTTCACACACACACACACACACACACACACACACACACACACACACACACATATATATATATATATTTTGGCCTTGTCTGGGTTGACCTTTTTCTCTCTCTCTCTCTCTCTTTTATATATATATATATATATATAAAGTTTTTTAAGTTACACTTGCCGCTCCGAAAACATTTTTAATTTTTGATTTTATTATAAATTTATAATAACTGATAATTTTTTGATATAATTTTATTGTTTAATAAATTTGTTTTGATATAATTTTATTTGTTGATGAATTTAGTTTTTTAATATATGAATTTTGAGATAAAATTTTAAAACATCAATGTTTTATTTTTTAAAATATTTTATTATAATTTATAAAATAAATTATTTTTATATTTTTAAATGCGTATTTTATTTTCTAATATATATGTGTGTGTGTGTGTGTGAGAGAGAGAGAGAGAGAGAGAGAGAGAGAGAAAGCTAAAAGTATGTTTTAGATAGTTTGACTTCACTTTTTTTTAAAAAATAATAGCGAGTTAAAAAATTCTCAAGTTTTATTTGCTTTTTTATATATATTTATTGAGAATTTATCAAAACCAAATTTTTTTGTTGTTTTTATTTTAGAACATCAATGTTTTATTTTTTTAAAATATATTATTACAATTTATGCAATAAATTATTTTTTTATTTTTTAATATATATATATATATATATATATGAGAGAGAGAGAGAGAGAGAGAGAGAGAGAGAGAGAGAGAGAGAGAGAGCTAAAAATATGTTTTAGATAATTTGACTTAAATTTTTTTTAAAAAAAATAATGAGCTAAAAAATTTACAATTTTTATTTGTTTTTTTTATATATATTTATTCAGAATCAATTTTGTTATTTATTTTATTTTAATCTATTGACTTCAATATATTTTCACAATTTAGGTAGTTTTTTTTGTATATTTTTTATTTATTCTATATACTATCAATCTGTTATATATATATCTATTAGAAATTAACTATATATAGATTTGATTTATATCAATCAGCAAAAATAAAACTTTTTATTGATATTACACTATATAAATCATTAACCTTGAATATATAACGATTGTCTACCCGTAACGTAACGTGGGTATCCAACTAGTTGTAAACTGGACAGTAGATCTGAAATATTTTTATAGTTTATTGAAATGTTTCTATAACTGTCCCGGTCTAAATTTGCCAACATCTCGAAGCACAAATGTAGCAATGAAATTTGGCAACGGAACCACTCATGCCATTTATGTGGGCTTATAACTTTCCAACACAGGACGAATATTGTATTTTTGTCCCTTTTTTTCAATATTTGATGATAATAAGGTTTCCAAGTCTAAATTGTGCCCGTTTCTGAGTTGTTGTCCATGTGTTAAAATACTCAATTGAACAAAATGGAGCCCAAGAAAAGGAAGATGTTAGCAATCAACATCTTGAATGTGATTGCTTTTCTTTTAAGCATCGACAACGTAATTTTTTCAGACATATGAGGCCGGTAATTACTTTTTCTTTTCTGTTCTTTTCATCGAAAGACTCGTAGGTAGGTCTTTGATAATATAATAAAAAGTTGATATCTGTTTACGTAGTAATTAAATAATCTTAATCATAAGAGTCGAACTAGTTGTACTAAAGGAATATACCAAATAGATAATCGTGAGAGTATCCTTATTTGTGTACTTTTATCAATAATTTTTTTTTCCAGCTAAGCTAGGAATGATCATTTAATTTTTCAATTCGATTTTAATTTTTTTAATTTTTGATTAATTGAATTAATTAAAATAAAAATTGAAATCGAACCAAAAGAGGTTTGGCTTTTCAATAAAAAAAACCAAAATTTTCCATTCGGTTTTTTTATTTTTGGTTAAAAACCAATTTTTTTGTACTTTTTCTTCTAAATTTTAAATTTTTTCTTGGACCAAGATGAAAGATCACTTTTTTACAATTTTTTTTCGATTTTCAAATAATGCTAATAGATTGAATTGAAGTTTTAGCAAAAAAAAATCATAAAAAAAATGCTATGAGCTTTTGTTATATGTTTTTTAAAAAAAACACACTAATTCAATTTTCAATGAAAACCAAGTTAAAATATATATATATATATAATTTCGGTTTTGATTTTTTTTTTCAAATTTTTTGAACAAAACCAAATCAAAATTACTAATTCTATTTGGTTTTATTTGATTCGATTTTAATGGAATAGTACTTATCCTACACTGAGCATGATTTTTATCATTTTTTGAATTATTTGATGACAATAATATTGGTGGGCAGTCAATTTAGGCAACAATGTAGCCAGTGGGATAAGACTTGGGGAAAGGGAGGTGTTGCCTGAGGAGCAAAATGTAGGGTCCAAGGCTAGCTCTTAGCTGACTCTTCAAATCAAAGCTGTTGTGAGTGCGCCACTGCTGCCTCATAACCCACCAAAATTAGCATCAATATTTCTGTTCAACCCTCAATGTTTACGTGTTTCTATTTTTGACTTTTGGCACACCTATGATAAGAACTATATATTATGTCTATAAAAGGCCAAAAAAAAAATCTCATTTGGAGAACCCTTCATCCTTATCATTAATGGATTCTGTCTGATTGATTAGGTATCGGATAAATAGACTTTATAAGAGACAAAAACTGAAATATTAAAATATGTATTAAAATAGGCACAGAATGGGGAATATGTTGCTTTTTTTTTATGCACGAAACACTATACTGTCTCAAGTAGGCAGTTGCCCTTTTTGATTAAGAAACTGTAAAAAGTTTGGATGAAAAGTTGGCGTATTTGATAAATTTTGAAAACAAAGAAGATTAAAAAAAATTGGAGAGCCAATTGAAGTTGGAGTTCTAATTCGGAGCTAATTTGAACTTTAAATTAGAAAGCAAAGTTAGTTTTACATTAATTTTATAAACCAAATCTCTTCGGTATTAATTTTATTGCTTTCTTTAGGTAAAGAAGCAAGTTTATATAATTAACAATACTTACTCTACTGAAGTCATCAATTTTATTAATTTTTTTAGGTAAAAAAGAAATTTTATTTTACTCTAAGAGATATATACAAAGATGAAAAAATATATATATATGAGAGAGAATTAAAAAAAAGACTCTTGATAAAAATATTTTATTGTTTTTGATAAATTTAGATATAATTTTTTCTTTTTTCGTCTTAAATCCGGATAAAAATATTAATAGACGGTTAGATTTATGTCTATTTCTCTATGGAACAGGTCAGATTTAAAAACAAAGAAATAACTACTGATAATATATGCCGTATTTATTTCTTAAATATTATAAAAAAATTTGTCAGATATTGGATTAGATATGTTTGGAGAAAATATATGTTTCTCTCCAAATCAAATTTGAAAAGTTATTTAGTATACTTAAGATTTTTTTTTTTTTTTAAGAATCCTCATTTCCTCTATTTTGATATCCACATGGTGTTCCTTTTCCATAGTGTAAAAAGGGAAATTTTTTTCTCGGCATAAAAAGAAAATCAGAATTGATTAGGTCTTAAGTAATAAATTATAATTAAATCTACGCTATTTTATTTTATTATCTTTTTGATAGAGCTAATAAGATCAGCCTTGGAGACGGCCCAATCCTTGAAAAGCCCGATTTTTCAAAGCCCTTGAGCAGTCATTTGGTCTCGTCCTTTTCTTGACAAGGACCCACAGCGACTTAGGCTAATGTTGTGCCCGAAATGGCAAAATAGGCTAATAAGATTTAATGCCGAAACAATAACCAGAGAAAGAAAGCCGCGTGACCCGCAAAGTAACTGCACGTGCTTCTCGTGTGAAGGCATCTGCTTTCTTTGTTGTGTTCGTTGGTTCAAGCCTTGTACTCGTGATCATGAATGAATAGCTTTTCCATTCGTACTCCCGTCAACCAGCAATGGTTTATTGGCACGTTTTGTCTATAAACTAGTATTAACATTCTGATACGTCTTTATATGATAAATTAATTTTTTATTGTGTTCCTGAAAACCATCTCTAATCTTTTCTTATATTTTAAATTTATTTGTAATCAAAATTCTTGATCAATTTTCAAAAATTAATTATTGTATTAGTAGATATAGATTACTTTTGTTAAATGATGAATACAATATTATTAAATCACATAACATATGTAAATCATATGCTTAATTTGATTTACTTTAGTCGAAAAGTTTAACTAAAAGGATAGATTAGAAACTGATTCAAAATATAAGAATATATTAGAAACGTTTTTTTTAAAAAAAATATTGAAAAATAAGTCTATTATACAAAAATAGGGATGGCAATGGGGTTGGGCAAGGTGGGGATGGTGCTTAAAAAATTCCCCATCCCCGCCCATGCCTCGAACGGAGCAAAATTTTTCATCCCATCTCCGCTCCAAACGGGGATAGGGATCCCGGTGAGGCAAACGGAGTAAATTTTTTTTCATCTCTTTTTATCCTATTCTATTACTAAATTTCAAACTATAACAAAAAAATGATAGTTTATATAGAAAATAAACCCTAAAAGTCACTAATCATATATTTTATATACGGTATAATTATAATTTTAATGAAAAAAACGAGACAAACGGGACGAAGCGAGCAAATCCCATCCCCGCCTCATTCTCCGATCAAGCAAGGAATCCTTGCGTTGATCGAGGAAAATCGAGGCGGGGTCAGGCGAGCTCCATCGAAGCAGGGCAAATTCCCATCCATATATAAAAACAAGTGAAGGTATTAATCTCAAACTATTTCTGATGGTGTAGCAAATAAAAACGTGCATTATATTTTATTACTTTTGACTTTAAATTATTTTTTGTCAATAAATTTTATTTTTCTATTTGATTAAATTGTTATGTTTTTTTAAGTAATTTTTATCTTTTCGTCTTATTAAACCACTATATTTAACAATTAAAATTTTAACCATTAACTGAAATACTTATAATATTATTAAAGTCAAAATCGTGAAAAATTAAGCATCTATGGGGTAGATATTTTTCTTTTCTTTGAAAGATTAGAAAACTTTTTTGCTCTCATAGTATCTGTGATTTTTTTTTTTCAAAGAAAAAAAGAACTTAGCATCATTACCTTAAAAACATCAAAAGGCACATAGCTGTTCTACAACAAACAAATTTTTGGCTTTTACCAAAAATTTTCTTTATGTTTTCGGTTTTATTTTGTGATTTTTTTTTTTTTTTTGGTTGGTGGTTAAGTTTTATCATGTTTAATTTTTTATTCATGACTTATGTGAAAGGAGTTTTTTACAATCTTATTGTTTATATGTTATTTTTGTCTTTCGGAAAAAGTTTTTTTTATCCTTGTTTTATGATTTTTTTTATCATTTAAGTTTTGTCCTGTGTAATTTTTGTCTCTATTTGTTGTCGAATGGGTTTTGAAATATTTTAATTTCATCCAATTTGACAAACATTTTTTGTATTTTTGTTTTAGACAGTCTCTTTCTATCTCTTTAACAAACTACGGACGAAGAACACATTGCGAAAACTAATAATCTAAAATACAAAAAGCTCGGAACATCATTATTTTAATTATCAATTATTGTACATGTTTTTAATAAAATACATAATGGTATCAAATAACATCTAACCGAGCAATATTGTGTTACTCAATTTTGTAGCCTTTTCCTTTAGCTAACTCCACGACAACGTATAAAATATATGTTATGGTCTCTTTATTCTTTAAATATTTTTTACATGATTCTTTTAAATAAAAATTTTGAACTTTGTATTTTATATAAATGAACACATATGAATCTTGTGTGGCTCATTCCACGGCAAAATACGGGATATATGCTAGTAGCTATTCACTTTCAACCATATATATATATATATGAATTGGTTTGGCAATGTTTTTTATCCTTGAATTATTAAAATTATGATAAATTAAGGTCTATCTTATTAATTTAATCAATTTTAATCTTAAGCCATCACATTTTCAGTAAACATTGTCATTCTGTTGGATTTGATTGTTTGTATAGACCAAACACCATGTTAAATTATGAAGACTAATGTGGATAGAAGCCCACGGTATGATGCGTTATGCACACAACAGTCTCACCGACCAATTAGCGAGCGAGGGGTCAAAGGGATAACGACCCTTATGGGGGATCGAGGGTGGATCTCCTAAAAGATCTATAAAATATTGGATCAAGTGTACATGCCCGTTAGGTTTTTTTTCCTTATAACTTTAGTCGTCCATGATATAAATAGAGGCAATATCATTTATATTTGTAGTTGCTTCTTGATAAAACCTAATTAGAAATCCTAATACAACCGTAGAGTAGGCATAATTGTCGAAATATATAAATTTTTTGTATTGTGTGATTGTGTTTGTCTTTCTATTTTATTCTTTTACTTGATTCTTTGCCTAACACGTTCTTTTTGAAAATTCAAATTTTGCTATTCTCAACTAAAATTTTTCTTGGAAGCTAATTAACATTCAATCTACTTACACAACTAATTTTTTTTTTTAAAAAAATGAATTTGGAAGTATTTTTTCTGAATAATTAAAATTTAATAAATTATATAAAAATAGAAAATATGTTGAAAGTATCTCTCTTTTGTTTAGAAGCTCTAAGAAGGTCATATGAATTTACCAAGGTAATTTTAATGTGGTTATCAATTTTTTTTACATATCTAGTTTTTAAAAATTAATCTATTTTATTAGTTGTTACACATTTGATCATGTAAATACTTTGAAAATCATGGCAAGAATAAATAAATAAATAGTATAATTTTTTTAGGCCTTCCAATAAAATTTATTTCAAATTATTTTCTAAATTTTTTTTCAATTTTGTTAGTAGTTAATCTCTAAGAAAAATTAAAAAAACGCTTCTTGATTTCAAAATTTTTTGAAATTATTTTGAGAAGTCCATTGAATATATATATATATATATATATATATATATATATATATATATATATATATATATATAATTCAACTCAAAATATCAAAATTTGAATTTTTTAAGTTTGGTGAATAATAAAATTCAAATTAAATAAAAAAATATTTACTCAAAACATGATAATTCAAGGTCAAAATTGACCAAATATATAATATAGGTCATAATGAGCTGCAAAGTAAAAAAAAAAAAAAATTGCCATGAAACGGATGTTAATTGCGGCAGGAGAAAATTATAAATTAATACTTCTGGTTTCGATAAATAAATTAATAGCCTTCTTTGTTTAAGAGATTAATTACTCAGCCTCTATATTTTTAATTTTTTTTAATTTAATCATTTTCATCATTTTTTAATTCATTTTTATATTTTTAAAAAATAGAAAAGAAAAAATGGAAGAATTGATGGAAAAATATGATATATTTTTTGTAATAAAATCATATTAAATTAAGTATGATCAACATTAAATAATTAATTTTTAAAATAAAGAGAACTGATTAATTCATTTTTCAAAAATAAATAAACTAATTTATAATTTACTCACTGTAGCATCACAATAAAATTATTATTGAAGCTTTTAGGTGGAATTCTCAAGCCATGTATGCCAGTTGTCTATGGCTCCAGTCTTGACCCACATCCAGTACTGCCAAACGCAATGAAATGGGTGTTTAATGTGTCCACAAAAGTTTTATTAATGATGAACAGAGGTGTTACAGGATCCTTTTTGTTGCTCTCTTTCTAAGAAAACAAGGGTGCAAAGCTATGGAAGATCCTATTCCTATTTCATTTGAATGAAATTATTGGTCTTTTAGTTCATTTTTCATCATCTCCACTCAAAACTTCTTTTTTTTTTTAAATTACAAAAATAGATGTTCGAACTCATTGTCCCTTCAAATTTCAAATTCGAAGGGCAAAATTTTGAATTACAGCATAGTAAAATTCAAGATTTTTTAGAATCACAAGCCAAAAAAGGGAAAAACACAGAGCAATGTGAAAGATCCATAAAAAGATAATGACATTAATAAATTATGATGGGAAAGGAGACGCTGAAAAAGTTGTGCGACGAAAGAGTAATAGTAAGAAGGAAGAGATAAGGTTAGAGCAGACATCGACAATGATAGCCAAACAGGTCCCATCGTCATACACATACTTATAGGCAAACAAACCAGCGACTGCTGTTTCCCTCGAGCATTTATCTCTCCCAACATCACAACATCTTTAATTAGTGGGAGGAAATAAAAACAAACAGTGGGAAAAAGACAAGGGAGTCGAGGAATAGTTAAAGCAAAAAAAATAAGAACCCTTCCATTGGTTATGCGGCTTGGGATGCAGCTAGCTTTTGTTTATCCTTTCCTACTTTCAACTTTTTTATCTTCCTCCTTTCACTAGAACCGCTTGATTGAGATGTATCTATCAGAACATGAAAAGCCCATTGTAATAATAATACATTGAATTTTAATATTTTATATTTCTCTTCTAATTCAATAATAATGGGAAAATTTAAAATATCACGGGTTATGCTCTCAAAATAGCATAAAAGGATCGAAATCCCTCTCTTTTGAGAGACATTTTGGTGAGCTAGTCAAATGAAAAGACAGAGCCTGAAAATAGCAAGTGGGATAAAAATAAATTTCTTACTTCTCAGAATGGAGCTGTTGAGGTTCTATAGAGTGTGCGCTTTTTTGGTAGCTGAGCAGGAGCTGCTGCCAAGATCTGCAAAACACAAATATGCATCAAAATTTCACAGTCCATGATGTGATCTCTTGCTTTGTGTAAATTGGCAACATTCCATATCAGGAAGCTACAAAAGGAAACGTTCCTCTTTTACAGTACTGACAATTTCTTGCTGCCTTCGAAGCTTGGCGTTCTCCTTTGCTAAAAAAGCAACTTCAAGTTCCAACTCAGTTGTGTAAGCCTGCAAAAAGGTAAAACAGATAAAACTATTAGCAATATATATTCATTAAATTTAACTAAAAACAACTTTTAAAAAGGAGAGGGAGATTCCTGCTTTCTAGCCCGGGACCGAGCTGCAGATTCTCTGTTCTTGATCATGCGCTTGTGCCTCCGATCGCTGCCGGTACCACCACCATTTTCTAGAGGCCTTTTTTTGCAACTACTGAAAGGGAAGAAAGAAGAAGCCAAGGCATCAAAAGGAGAATCAAGATAAGAATCAAAACTTATGGTGCCACCACCGGCATGGCTATGCATTTGCGGATTTGGCCTCACGGGGACATTACTAGTACTGCTTTCCTGATATTGAAAAAGATCAGACCCAGAATTCAAACTCAGCATAGTAGCTTGTGGTGACCCTAAAGAGTTCTCCAAGAAAGTGTTGCCCCCACCAGAGGAGGGTTCCTTAGAGGCAACCCTTGTCTGTGTATCTTTATCGGAAGGTCTAGCCAAGAAGTCTTGAAACATCATACCATGAAAAGCATGATGGTCGTTATTCTTCGAGAAGCTGGTGTTTGGATGATCTTGAAGAGAAGCTAGATTTATATCGTCCCAAATTGAGTTTCCAGTCATTAGTTGGTTAGGTATTGGAGAAGGAGAGAAAGGTAAAGGAGATGAGCATGTAGAGGAGGAGGACTTTGAAGGAGACTTACGAGAATTACTAGAGACTTTATTGTTGCTCATGCTGTTTACTTGTTTTTATCAATGGTTGCTCCTGGTTACGACCACATGCTTTGACAGGGAAAAACAGTTGTGAGACGATGGTCTAGGACAAGGAGTATCTGTGGAGAAGAAGAAATACTTCTTTCTGATTGACTTTAGGGTCTCGGCATAAATGTACTTCTCTGATTTATAGTGGTTTTAATATCCTCGGAATTTTAAACACAAATTAGCTTCAATTACCAAAAAAGAAAAGAAAAAAGGGCAAATTAAACTAAAAGAAAATATCATTGTACTAATTTGTTCTTCCTATGTAGTCCCACGAATACATAACAAATTCGTTATCAAAATACAAGAAGGAAAAAAAAAGGAAAAAAAGCTTTTTTTGTTTAAATTTTTATTTTTTTCTATTTTGATGCTTGATTATTGATTTTTCATAATTGATTATTCAAATTTATTTTTTTATTTGTTTTGATACTTCTTGAATCCTGATTTCGTTAATATATCCGATGAGATTTGTCATGAGACAATTAAACTAAAAGAAAATATCATTGTACTAATCTTGTTCTTCCTTTGTAGTCCCCCGAGTACATCACAAAATCGTTATCAAAATACGAGGAAGGAAAAAAAAAAACAGAGAAGCAAAAAAGAATTATTTTATTCTTCCTTGATAGAAATGCGGCCGAATACTTTGTTGGGGCTTCCCCGACTGGCAAATCATAGTGCAAGTTATTGCTTAAACCATTTCTCAACCTCAGTTTGCTACGGCAGGATTTAGTGGGAGATGAAGTACTACTTGTCTTTTTGTTTGGTTGAACGTGTTGGAAAATTTAGAAATCCAGATTCAGTATACCATTGTACGAACAATTTAATAGATACCTAAGATTTAATGTAGTTCAGCCAAAATTTATTTACTCCATGATTGAAGATTAACTATCTGCTCAATAGATTTATAATAAAAAATAACAAAAAAAAAATCAGTATAAAAAATGATTTTAATTTTTATAATAAAAAATTCAATTTCAAAGTCGGCTGTACATCTGCTCTTGTATTAAAAAAATAATAATTCAACTATTGAATATTTTTAAACTTTAAAACTATATATCTTTTTTATTTATTCCTTGGAGGCTCAGTACACAATGAAGGTAGAGTCATTAGAATTCGAATTTTGTTTTAATAAGAAAATTAACTAGATACACGATCGTTAGATTAAATCTATTTATATAAAATTATATATCTTTTCTTTTATTTATAACAGTCAAAACACTTAATAATCAAGTTTACAAACTTGTGATAATCAAGTTTATAAATTTTGCTTTACTAAAAAAGCTAACCGGATATACCATCGTTATATTAAATCTATTTATGTAAAATCATATATCTTTTCTCTTATTTATAACAGTCAAAACACTTGATAATCAAGTTTATAAACTCGTGGTAACCAAGTTTATAAAGTTTGGAGGGTGTTTTACTTAGCCTTGATTTTTTTCTATTTATTTAGTTATTACTCAAAAAACAAAGGTCGCATCCTAACAAAAAAGTGTGGCATCCCAACAAAAAAGCGTATTGGATAAGAGTTGAAAGAGTAAACAACAAAAAGGCGTATTGGATAAGAGTTGAAAGAGTAAACGAAAGACTAAAATGGAGAAAAAAATATATCAACCATTCATTTAGTACTGTTTGGTATTATTTGGCGTATATTTTCTATTTTTGTTTTCTTGATTTTTTTGTTAGGAAAAAAATAAAAACTAACAACTAGGATCATAATTTTTGAAAATCATTTTGTTTCGTTTGGAAAAATTTTTAACCTCTAGTTATGGGATTTTTATTTTTTATTTTTAAAAAAACTTTTTCCTTTCAAAAACTAAATAGAAAACAAAAATGACATCAAACCTTCAAAACTCTTTGATATAGTAGTCACAATCTATTTTTTATTTCAGTTTTATGTATTAAACAAAAACTAAAATATATTTTCTAATATTTTTTCATGCAATTATCGAGCGTTAAAAAATATTTTTTTAGAAAATAACTTTCTAAAAAACAATTGCTTCCAAATTATTTTCTTATCAAAAATTATTTTTTGTTAAACAAATGGAGCCTAAGAGAATTAATAGAATATAGACACATGGGGTTCTCTTTGTCTTGGTTTGAATGAAAAACATCACCTTCTATCCTTCTTTTGCATACTCCCACTTTTCTTTCGAATAAATTTAGATCCCAAAAACAGCAAGGTTGGGGAATTTGTCTTGAACCTCGATGTCAACAAGTTTCCTAAAAGTTTTAACTCTTTAGGAGAAGAAAATTATTAGGCTAATTAACTAGCCTTTGTGACGATAAGTGAGATGGTTGGCCTAGTTGCACTTTACCTCCTTTAAATATCTACGTAAATAATTTGTAAAACAAAACACATCTAATAGGCAAGTATGTGTTTGGTAACGCAGAGTAAATATTTTTATAACAGTGAATTTGAAATGAAAAAACATTAAGATTATTAATTTTTTTCAAGCGTTTTTTTTTAATATTTTCGACATCAATATATTAAACTTATCTAAAAATTAACACTTGGAAAAACTTTCAAAATCATTTTCAAACGCAACATCAAACACAACCTATCTATGATACTGCTTTGCAAACTTGATGTTCCTACACAAGAACCAGTTTGGCAAACTAGAAAGACTGGCAGTTCCCAAGATGCCTACTGGGGATGCAAATGCACATAAAATGCATCTATATCCTTTTGTACTTGGAGCCAGACTAGCTAAAATTGACTTCCAGATTATCGTAATTACTTCTACCTAGCTCTGACAATAGCCAACTGCTCAAATGAGGTACCTATGAGGATGCATGTAACGATAGCCTGCTAGCTTAATGAAATCAAATTACGTACTAGTGAATCCTGAACCTCAACCTGGACTAGTTAAAATTCCAAACATTTTTGCCATAATATATCAGTTGGGTTCAACAGGGTTGGCACTCGGGCGCATAGTCATCTTCCGGTCAAATTTTCTTAATTAGTTGGGTTCAACGTGGCTTAATTCTGTGGAGCAAAAAATATGACATACGGTGTGTTTCAGAAAGAAAGGAAACATTTTAAGTAGGAAAGATATTTACAGCCAACTCCTTTCACTGTTCCTTTCACTGTTTTATATGAACAGTGTTTTCCTTTTCTTATTTTGAAACCAACAGCCAACCCGCATGTAGCAATTTGCTGCCCCACTGAAGTTGTCTAACAGTCTGATTCATTGACCTTATGTTTTTGTTTTTGTTTTTTTTTTTCCTTTTTCGTAACTTTGTCTTTTTATCCAACAGCATTTAATGCTCCAGCATGGTGGTGCTGCAGGAACTTTCTTTTGCTTACAAATAATTGATGCATGTTATTTTTTAATTCCTTAACTAAACGACCTTTGTTTTTAATAGTAAATGAAATAATGATATCCTTGCTTCTTTTTTTAATAATAATAAAAGTGCTTTAGAGTTGGTATTAATATATTTGAAGTAAAATATAACAAAGGTTTACACCTATCGATCGATTAAAGTAAGAATATTTTTAAACAAATTATTTAGTACAAATAGTTTTTAAATAAAATTTGAAGTAAAATTAAATTCTTCTATTGAATAGGATTAGATTTCTATCCAATTTGGATTATTTAAAAATCACATGCTTAGTATGAGACACCTTAGCTCATTTAATAGAAAAATTAATCAAAAAAATCATATGTTTATTTGCTTATTCTTTATATAATTAAAATTTATCAAAATTAATTTTGTTGTTTTTTATTTAATTCTATTAATTTTAACATATTCCTTGTCATTTATTTTTTTTAATATTTTTTATTTATGATGCACATTCTAAAGCCATTAAGTATGGTCATGATATATATATATATATATATATATATAATACCGTCCACACACTCATAAATTACTATTCATATACTCATAAATCACTATTTCTTTCACTATTCTTGACATTTTTGCAACACTTTGATCCTCAATATATATATATATATATATATATTTTTTTAATTTCAATCTTTAATTGTATTGTGATTTGATCTCCTTTTGTTTTGGTTTTTTTTTTCTTAATTATTTTTCTTTAAAATTTACTACTTTAATTTGTCATTTTTTTTTAAATTCTCATCCAATCAATTTAAAATTATATGGTTCTCAATTTTTTTATATATTTTTTTTAAATTTCAAACTTTAATTGTATTGTGATTTGGTCCCATTTGTTTTAGTATTTTTTGTTAATTATTTTTATTATTTAAAATTTACTACATAATTTTTTATTTTTTAAATTTTCATCCAATTAATTTAAAATTATATTTACTAATAGAGTTGATTTATTTTAATATTATTCATTCTTTTGTAAATAAATATATAAAAATTAAATTAACACTTTTTTTTCAAAAATCGATATTCTCATCAACATTAAATAAAAATAAAAAAATTATTTGTTCAATTCTATATAAGCTTTTAATAATTGTTATTTTTTTTTCAACACAATCTTATCTTATGAGATATAAAGCTTTTAAAAAAAATTATTTAATTTTCTTTTTAGTTAATAATCCACGGATTAACAAGGATAAATCCTTTTTCTAAAGGAAGAATTATGAAAAACATAACTAAGAAATTGTTAAATAAAAAATTTTGATTAAAAAAATAAAAATATTTTTTTCACTTTTGATTTCATATGTTTTTATAGATTTACACTATAAAATAGACTATCAAACTGAAATGATTTTTTAAAATGATTTTATATATTTTATCCAATCTACGAGCATAGCGTGGGTAAAAAAAAATAGAGATTTTTTTTTTAAATAGAGTTTAGTTAGAAATATTCTTGAATTTTTTTATAGATTCGGATTGTCGCTACCCGACGTCGGACGGACTCCTCGAAAATATCTAAGATTAGATTGAATATTTACAAATTTATTTACGAGTTTGGAGTCGCCACCTAATATTAAAGGAACTAGGAACTTAAAACGGATACTCGGTTCAAAGATTCTATGATAAGGAGTTGG